TGTCTGGATTATAAAGACAATTAGGTGAGAAATAAGATCAAGGAAAGTGGTAAGGGCCATGTTAGAAATGATTATCATATACTTTAATTCTTTCTTCGAGATTTGGATATCCGTATTCCTGTATGAAAAGAAGTATTTCTGACTTCTGTTAATCACTTCAGCCATGAGATGGGTGGCATATAAATTTAATAAATAAATATTTCTCCTACCATTATGCCAGTCTTTAGGAACATATAAAGTTATGATTAACAGACAGAAATGTTGTACCTCAGCTATAAAAACTTGGACGGGACAATTGCATAAGGCTTCTTTCCTGCCTTCTGTTTTCTCCTTTAAATAATTGTAAAATGCTTCTTCTGTTTATCCAGTATGCTTCTGATGAGTCCATCTGGTACTATGTTATCTTTATTTATACAAAAGTTCAAACAAAAAAAATTCAACTGCTTGAAATATAACCAGATCAATTAACATAACTGGTTTGGGAGATATCTTATTACTGTGAACCATATTCCAGCATAGTTTAAGATTGTAATAATACAGTATATGGTTATGGATGAATTGCACTTAATTCTATTTAGTCGTAGAGCATTTTTTAGCCTGACTAAAGTTTTTTTTTTTTTTTACTAAACTGGATATCATATTGCATATGATATGATACATAAATCCAGCAAAATGTAGTATTTCTTGAATATTAATTGAAAGAGCCCTATAATTTACATGTGTTTTGAAAATATGCTGTGGTTATACACAACTAGAGAGAATTTTTCAAATACATTTTTCAGTGCAAATAAAAATGTGTAAATAATTGTATCTCAGCAATTTGCTAAGATATTTTTTCTTTCTTTATTAAAAAATAAAAAACTGACAGTTGTTCACCACACAGACTTTCCTTGCCAAGCTGCATGTGATTGGGATAAATTATCTTCACTATAAAATGACTATACTGTTAAAGTGTTGCCGTTGTAAAATACAGCTTGAGCTGTTTCCTTAGAGGAAGCTGACTTACACAACTACCCCCCTTTCCATTCTAGTTTTCTTTTTAAACACTAAACAGAAACTACGAGACAAGACAGCTTCTTTTTGTAGGATCATAATCGATTTGACACAATAAATATGGAGAAAAAAAATGCAACCAGATGCTAGTACTAGTTGTTACATATAATAGTAGTTTTAACCGTTCAGTTGTGTCCGGCTCTTGGAGATTTTATAGGCAAGTGCTCTCCAAGGCTACCCTGTCAAGCACAACTTGTTTCAATTGTTGGATGTTCATCATCGTTTCAGATTTGATGGTATGAAGCCAACGAGTTCTTTGCTTGCCCCTTCTTCTTGATGCACTAACCATTCCTAGCATCACAGACTTCTCCAATGAATTTGCACATATGATATGGTCAAAGTAAATCAGACATAGTCTTGTAATTTTGGCTTCTGGTGATGTTTCTGGTTTTGTACGGTTCAGCATCTCTGGCTGTTTGTGGTAGACACAATAATTTACGCCAGCACCACAGTTCAAAGATGTCAATTCTTCTTTGATCAGCCCTTCTTAATGTCCAACTCTCACACCCATACATCATATGTTACATATACTCTGTGTTGTTTTAACGCCCAAAGAATGCCCCAGTGCTCTTGAATACTGTATTCCTCAGAAAGCACAAGAATCTAAAGAGAGATCCTAGATTCTCGCTCAGCTAAATAACCTTAGAATCATCCTACACATCCTTGTACTGAGAAGGAGAAGGGGAGCCATTGGGAAAGGGAATGTAGAAAGCAGTAATAATGGATTTTCTCTCTTCCCACTCATAGCACTCTTGGATAACAAGTAAAGCTTAGGCCCAGTTAGGACTGTGATTGCAGTCATTTCCTCTGATCTCTATAGGTAAGCCTCCCTGCCTTTCCTAATCTTTGTCCTCGGAGAACATGTGTGTCTTCTTGCCAAAAGCTCTCTTTACACTCAAAATGCAGAAGTGTCCATTGCAATTGTACTCGGTTCTGTTCTATCTTCACATGTCAGTAGAATTGCTCAGCTTAGTTATCATTCCATTACAGTCTTTGTGGGGGTCTTCTGTAAACAAATATAAAACAGACCTGGCAGTGGTTAAATTATGCATGCAGTCTGGGGTTTGTCAGTTTTTATGCCAGTGGGAGAAATTTAGGTTTGGCTCTTACAAGACCGGTATGAAAATTACTGATGATACATATCCAGCAATGAGATATGACTTATTTACTGTGTCTCTTCTGGCCATAATCACATTTTAATGTGGTGTCTGCATTGCAACAAATCCCCCCCCCCCACTTCAAGTAGTCATCTTCCTTCTGCCTTGAGTGGAAAGATTTTAGGGATCTGCTCAAGGTTTCTGTTCAATCGGTTCACCTGTTTTTGCTTAAAGCTCGGCACATCTGCTTTATGTTACTGTTGCCTATTTTAAGATCCACTGCATGGTTAGTCAGAAGTATTGGAAAAACAACGACAACAATGAGAATACTTCACTAACAATCCGTTGGCCCAGTTGCTTGTCTGCTTTCAAACTCTGTGTGAATAGCACATTTGTGGCCATGTGGCTTGCTGACTGTAGTGAGACTGTTCTGTAAGCAATTGCTTGCTCATCTAGCTAGCCTCAAGTGCAGCTTAACAGTATCTGCAGTGATCATTCAGATGCACCACAGGCTTTATATAGGCCTTACAGTAGCCTCATTGAGTTGTCTCTTAACATGGGGCCTGGCAGGCCCCTGTGAGAGAGGGACGTGCCACTTGAGCCAGATGTTTCTTTATTAGTGGCTGGGCAAAGGCAGCTGCATATGCATTTCTTGGATTTAACGCCATCTCCTTTGAGCATTTTAAATCATGCTTCAAGAGAATCATACCATCAAAAAGGTGCCAAACTCTCGTACTTGGACATTAAAAACTTAATGAGACTTCAGGTATAGCTCCCCTGGCCAGGAACAGTGCAAATTTCTTTGTGTGTCTTGCTTCACGGTTCTGAAATCTGAATTACAGGAAACTTGTCTTGGGAAGGAAAAAGCTAATTCGTTCTCCATGGCCTCTTCAGTTTTTGGCTTCTTTGCTTAAACCAGTGCCAGTTGGAAGGATGAGTGTTATCTGTTTCCATATACAAAGAGGAACTATTGTCCAATAAATATGAATTCTGTGTGTTTATTTGAAAATGATGGGCCATTAGAAAAGGTTCCCTGAAGTGCTGATATTTAATGCACAATTACATAATTAGAATCCAGTGCTTAATATCCTCAGTAAGACAGATGGGTATATCTTATTATGATTCTGCTCTTCAAATTTAGTAAGCTGTCAGGATTTAATCCGCCAAATAAACAAATCCCTTATTTTGTTGTTAAATGCCTGGAGGGAAGAGACCCCCCCAAAAAATATTTTTAAAAAGTAAAGGCCTAATTCTCATTGGTCACTTCTTCATTATAGAGGCAGCTCCTAACTTTACAACTGATTAGACCATCCAGAGTTATGACAGACCTCCTCAGAACTACTTACAACCTGGTTTTGAAGTTATGATGGCTGTGTATGCAGACATACACACATGCACGTATGCACACAGTCATGCGATTGCATTTTGGGCTATTGGCAACCAGCTCACCTTTATGGTCATTTGCCGTATCCTGTGGCCATGTGACCACAGTTTGACTTTTTGGGTAGTTTACTTCTGGTTTCTGGCAAAAAAAAATGTCCACTAGAAAAAATAAATTTGCTTAATGACCACAGTGTTAGCTTAACAACCACAGCATTTGCTTAACAACCACCACAAAAAGTGTTGAAAAACGGGATCTGGTCAAATGATGCCTTACCTACAATCATAATTCTGGGCTCAGTTACAGTCATAAGTTGGGGACTACCTGTAATGTCTCTTTATTTTATACTGCAGTATATGTGGGTTATTTTGTATTGTAATATATTTGCGTTAAGTCATATAGTGTGGTAGGATGTCATTTGGAGACATGAGTTATTTTTTTTTGCTGTGTATTTATGGCATAATAAATATGAATTAACAATAAAAAACATTCACAGTCATAAAATATAACAAATATCAAAATATTTATGTCAAAAACTGTAAAATATAATAGAAAGCTTATACTTGACAATTATTGATCACAGTTTCCTCCCTTTTGCTTCCCTTGCCTCTTTCTGTTGTATGCTAGAAATCAAGTTTTGAATTTTTCCATAATTGTGAATTATGTTTTTCTTCCTTGGTCAATTGCAAAAGTGTAAAAGTTTCTTATTTATTTATTTATTTATTTATTTATTTATTGGTTCAATTTATATGCCACCCTTCTCTGGAGACTCAGGACGGCTTACAATGCATTAAGCAATAGCCTTCATACTTTTGTATATACCTGCTTAGTAGGGCTTTTGGCCCCCACTAAGCGGTGTTCTTTTTTATACAAAGTCAGTTTATTGCCCCCACAATCCGGGTCCTCATTTTACCTACCTCGAAAGGATGGAAGGCTGAGTCAACCTTGAAGAGTCAACCTTGAAGAGAATCCCTAAGGCTTTTCTGCATGACAAGTCATTAATGGAAAGTTACTCTGATGTACATGTTTTATTCAAAGAACATAATATATTCTGATTTACCACTTAGAGGTTGCCCTGAATGTAACCATAATCAATCATTTTGCTTTAACAGTCTTCTTTGTGATCTTTCATTTGTTCGTATCTTTATGGATATAGAGGAAGATCTTGCAACAGATCCTCACTGAAGGGTCTATGGAAATTCTCAATCATCCAGGTCATAGTTGCCCCAAAGGTGCTTTTCCAAAAGACAACTGATCTTTCTTGGGCTTTTTTCCTTGAAAACATTGCACTTCTCATCCAAGAAGCTTCTTCTGTTCAGAAGTGAACAGAAGCGAAACATTTTCAAGGAAAAAAGCAAGGTCCAGTTGTCATTCGGAAAAGCATCTTTGGGATGTCCTTAGTGAAATTTTATATATGCCTAAATTAATTGTGTGAGCAAAGTATTGAGAGTGTTATGATATTATTACAGGTTGAAGCTATCTAATGAAGAAATTCGGCAGGCAATTTTGAAAATGGATGAAGAAGAAGATCTGGCGAAAGATATGTTGGAGCAGGTGAAAAAAACTTAGTTACTTAAACACTGATGTCAGTGGTAAACGGAGAGTGTGTTCCTCTTCTCATTGGGTTACATCTCAGCAAGCAATTTGTATCAACATGCCAGCATGATGATCAGATTACTTTCAGATTCTTTTCCCCTCCATAGTTCCTCATTGCCGTTGGATTGAGGAGTATAATAATGGTGTCAGTAGATTATTACTAATATCCTTGTACTTTAGGTGAAGAGTTATTGGTCCTGAACATGAAAAATAGCAAGGAGAAAGAGATTTTTAAAATCTGGGAGAAAGAAAGAAGGGAGGAGGAATAGTATAGTGTGTAGAAGCCTAAGAGAGACTATTGATATTTCACAAAAGCAGCAGAGTTATTAGAGAAGCCTGTGTTTATTTTAAAATGCATTTTTTTGTAATTTTTACAACATTAGTTATTAGTCCCTTTTCCATTTCTCAGATGTCTTGTCTGGGGGGGGCAGGCGGATGCATTCATAGGTATTTTATCTCTCCTGTTAATTTGCTGTTGTAATCTTGACCACTTGAAATTCTACGCTGTCTTAAATGTATCCCAATTTACTACTATAATCTCCTACTCGATTGCCTTGGGAATTGCAAAGACAATAAGAGAATGGGCATTAACGTTTTTAAATCAATAAGTATTCCAGGAGAAAGTGACTTAAACCGTTGCTCATTTGTTGCATGGAGTACATTCATGAGGCAGGCTTATTTGTATTAGGAATGAACGGGGCTTTGAATTTGAAGGGGGAAAAGTGCTCCAGAGCACGCCAAGGCATGAACAATGCACCTGTCGGTAGCTCCTTAAACTTGTCTTTTCCCAGGATCACATGCAAGCAAGCATTGGAGGGCAGTTGTGTGATCCTGGGGGAAAGAACAGCTGAGCTACTTTAAGTAATTGCTAACAGGTGTTATGTATCCCCATTCTCTGGAGCATCTTTTAAAAATCTATAACAGTGCAGAGTCTTGCCTCTGTGTAGGTACACACACGTACACATAGCTCTTTTGGGGTAAAGTAAGACACAGTAAAAATGATCTACAAGGACCTTTAGGAAAGCGATCATTAGGGATCGTATTCTTGGATTCAATGGTGGCTAATGCATGTGATGTGTTTAACTTTACCTGTTACACTTTCTAAAGAGAAACTCAGCTATTTTCCAATAATACTGGTCTTTTAAAATTTCTGCTCCCAAGGTTGAAGGCCAGAAATGGCTAATTACAGATAGTCCTTAGCATCTACTTACCTTCCTTACCGGTTGGAAGTGTCACATGTGCGTGCAGACCTGTGCATGCGCAAAACCTTCTGTGCATGCGCAGAAGGTAAAAACCACATTACTTCCTGGTTAAAGCCAGGAAGTAATGACACCCGGGTGGGTGGGCGGAGCTTTGCTCCGCCATCGCTACTGGATCACTGAACTAATGGCCAAGATCGCTACTGGACTGGACGATCCGGTCCGATCCGGGAGCATTTCACCCCTGATCCTCAGCTTACAACAGTTTGTTTAGTGACTGTTCAAAGTTACAACGGCATTGAAAAAGTGACTTAGGACCGTTTTTCACATTACGACCTTTGCAGCATCCTTGTGATCAGAATTCAGACGCTTAGCAGCTGACTCATTTATGACGGTCGCAGTGTCCCAGGGTCATATGACCACCATTTGGGATCTTCTGACAAGCAAAGTCAATGAGGAAGCCAGATTCACCTAACAACCGGGTTACTAACTTATCAACTGTAGTGATTCACTTAACAACTGTGGCAAGAAAGTTCATAAAATGGGGCAAAACTCATTTAAGAAATGTCTCATTTAACCACATAAATTTTGGGCTCAGTTGTGGTCGTTTTCACTTTTGGGTGGCTGCTAGGACTTCTTCCAGTGCCAATAGTTTATCTGTGTCTCAATAGCAGTTAAACTACTCCTTGGAATAATTAATGAATTGGTAAGCAAGCATATAAACTAGGCTGATCTTCCAGCATAGTTTGGAAGCGGCAATTGGATGTGTGAAGCCAAGCCTTAATCCCACCAGATAGATAAAAAAGAATCTGTTGCTGAATGAGCTGTCTTTTGAGTTCAAACTTTGAATGATCACCCTATAAATCTAGTTTCTATCGACATTGTTCATTATCTTTCTGAAGCAGCCATTTTAGAAATGTGCTGGAGGGGATGGAGGGGAGAATAGATAGAACTTTGTATTGGAGGAAGAATGGGAAGAACATTTTTAGTACTTTACTTACAGTGCTACACTCCGAATGGCTTTATGTGTCAAAGACATTCTTCATTAAATACTAAATTAAATATTAACAAGATACGCAGCAAATAGTAGCTGGAAGTGAGCAAACGTTTCAGGAAGATCACTTTAATTGTTTCAAAAAATACTATTATAGCAGGATGTAGGGCAGCATTTTCAGTACCAGTCTATTAGTTCATTTTCATGCTGTCAACCTCCCCCCTGTCTGGTTGGCTGCTTCATGTTGTCTGTATTGTTGTTGTTTAAAAAAAAAACACTTTTGATGTTCCAGCTACTGAAGTTTGTTCCAGAGAAGAGTGATATTGACCTGTTGGAAGAGCATAAGCATGAAATTGATCGCATGGCGCGAGCAGATCGTTTCCTCTATGAAATGAGCAGGTGCATATATGTATATTATTAGGTCTGTTTGCATGTGATGGAGAATGAGAGAGAAAGGGAGTGAATATTGTAATGTACATTAACACTCTCTATAGAAAAATATGGGGGTGATCTGGTGATTGAGTGGTTTAAGATACTGGGTTTGTAAGCTGGAAAACCTGAGTGCCACGCAACAGGGTGAACTCCTGTCTTCACCCCAGCTCCTGCCCACCTAGCAGTTCAAAAGCATGCAAATGCAAGTAGATAAATAGGTACCACTTAGGTGGGAAAGTAACAGCACTCAGTGATGTCATGCTGGCCACATGACTGCGGAAATGTCTTTGGACGACGGTGGCTCAGTGGCCTTGAAATGAAGATGAGCACTACCCCCTATAGTCAGCAATGACTAGCAGAATAAAATCTGCAGGGACTTTACCTTTTTATAGACGAATGTAGCCCTCATAATTCCTAGACATTATGACCTTGCTAACACACAATTATGAAAATTAAATCTAATAAATTGAGAAAACCAAGATGGGACTGCTGATACAATGCAATATTTCAAATAGTATAATTGTAGTTTAGAAATTCTTATTGACTACATAGCTGTGTTTGTCAATGAAATTCAATCACCTGCTTTTCCTATGTAAATTATATAAAATATTATCATGCATTTGAGTAACAGGCTCTATCCTTGTGTGAATTGCTATGTTGTGCAGTGGAATTAGAAGCTTGAGACTCAAGTTAGTGATGCCTAAGGGTGACCCTTGTGTAAAATACTGGAAATGTACTGGGAAAATATTAACTTTCATTGAACTGGAAACTTCTTCCTCCTCTTTTTCCTCTGTGTTTTGGGTCATAATATCTTCTTTAGGGGAATAAAAATGCATGATTGTTATGAGATTCAGAATTGATCCTTGTCTGCTAGACATTGTCTCTAGGCAAAGCAGCTGATAGAATTTTTCATATTCAGGGATTTCTGTTCTAGTAATAAGATGGACTTTGAATAAAAATCGATTGGTCTTACAGGTATTCTGTTTTGCTGAAAGACTTATTGAAATGCAGCTCAGATCTCTTGCTGCTTTCTTTCTAGGATTGACCACTACCAACAAAGACTTCAAGCATTATTCTTTAAGAAGAAGTTTCCAGAGAGGCTTGCTGAAGCTAAGCCAAAAGTGGAAGGTAAGTTATATTCTTTACAAACAGTAACATATTTCAGGTATCAGAAGGTGTCATCCTGCCCAAGGAACACTGTGTGCTGAAGCATTCTGTGCAAGCTTAAGCAGAAGAAAATTGATGCCACTGTAGTTTGGGTTATGAATTGAACAGTCTGAGATGGCTAGCTCTTTGGCAGGATCCCAGTTTCTTGGTGGGTTGGATGGCGCTTATCAGTCCTGGGGGTGCATCAAGATTATTGCAGAAAAAAACTTGTCACAATCCTTCCTTAACCCTGACAATCTCATTTCCTAAGAGCAGCGAGAGGGTTGAGGATGGAACAGGCAGGTTACCCACTTTTGCTGTATGCATTCTGATATGCAATGCAAAATCTCTTTAGTGATTTTTTTTACTGTGTCTTCCAAAAGCCTTTCTGCAGAATTAGAACCATCCAAAGAAACACACTCAGTGGTCTATTTCCACGCTCAGTATTGCACTTCCTGTGTTGAAAAGTGAGAGAGGAGCTTTGGCTTTAGAAAAATGTAGTATGCATTGTTAGGGAGATCCCTCCCTTACATTCCCCCTTTCAACTATCATCAGTCCAGTATGTCAATCTAAGGGCCCTTCTTGTCTTTTTTAGCTATTCTCCTGGCTTCCAGAGAGCTCATCCGCAGCAAGCGCCTGAAGCAGCTTTTGGAGGTCGTGTTGGCCTTTGGCAATTACATGAACAAGGGACAAAGAGGAAATGCATATGGCTTTAAGGTTTCCAGCCTGAATAAGATTGCGGACACCAAATCTAGCATAGATAAGTAGGTTCACTTACTAATGATAAATCTTCAATACTGTACTTCAGTAAAAAAAAAAAAAAAGTTTCAAGGGAGTTTTCATAATACAAAAGACAATTAAAATACATCTTATTAATTTTGTACATCATATCTGAGTATGCATATCTGAAAAAGATTTTACATTAAAAGTGGTTACAGTCCATATAATTAATTTTGGTGCAAGCTTGAAACAGAGAAAACAGCTTTGTACCAAAAGGATATTTCTGCTAGTCTTGAAAATAACAATAGTTACTCTAGGTAGAATTAAAAGACAGCAATGTTTTTAAAACTGAAAAAAAAAATCTCTGCAAGGATAAAATTATTTAATGGTATGCAGGCAATTTCAAGCTGAATTTTTTTAGCACACTCGGAATTTTTTTTAAAAAAAACCCAATTCATCTTCAGGGGATGGTAAAATATTTCAAATCTAAGAGGCAGAGTACTGGTATTTTTCTTTGTATAAATAGCCAGAAATTTCTTTCGAAACTGTCTTTGCTGCTACACCAAACTAGTGACAGTTCATGATCTCTGTAGCTGTTTTACAGTGCCTTCTATCCAATGACACTTGACACAAGAAATGTTTTGTTTTTTATTTTGAGAGCATCCATAAATCTATGTGCCATCCTTCCATATCACTAGGAGTGAACTTATTGGGTTTTTTTTTTGTTTTTTTTTTTTTTGCAGTACAAAAACGGTTACTTTAAAAGAACAAAGGAAATCAGCTTCTCTAGAGGGCTATTAGGAATGATAATTTTTCTAAGCCAAATTGTCAGCACCCCTTTCCTGCTCTTCCAAATTGTTCCACTTTCACAGCTGGGGAACGGGGTTCAGAAGATAGGAACTTCCATCCCCAAATTAAAAACGTATCAGGGACCTGAACAAATGCAAGACTCTTCGTTTGGGAATTAGATGCACAAACAAAACAATATAGCCTTTGAATAAGTCTTCTTGGAGGCTTGGGGTGTTTTGCTGGGAGACCTCTGTACTTTGTACAGTGTTGCTTCTGTTGTTGAGTCATTTGCAAATAATCACTTGAGACTTCAGGGCAGAGGTGGGAACATCTAGTCCACCAGATGTTGTTGCAATGCAGCTCCCAGAATGTCAAGGATGCTGGCAGTCATCATACACATCACATTTGAAGACAAAACATTCTTCACTCTTACTTTTTAGCACAAAAGATGTGAAATATTAAATGAATAAAAGCATTTACATGGCTGCCTGGTCAGATAAAGTGACTCGGGTGGTGTACAAAAAGGGAAGAGAAATCAAACCAAGAAAGAAACAATACTTACCATTAAACCCTATCAAAACAATAAAATGGCAAGCAGAGTTAAAATATACTGTAGCTCCTCAGATTGAGGTCTCTACTCGGCCTGACCCAAAAGCCTGAGGAAGTAGCTATTACATCAATTTTATATTAAAAATATGGATGTTAGACTAAGAATTTGATTTCATTTTAAGGTTTTCAGATATAATTACCCTTACCCTGATTTTGTTTCCTGTCTCTTTCATACCCATTTCCCTTAGGAATATTACCTTATTACATTACTTAATAATGATCTTTGAAAAGAATTACCTAGATGTGCTTGACGTACAGTCTGAACTGCAACATCTTCCAGAAGCAGCAAAAGTCAAGTAAGTATCATTTCTTGCCATTTGGCTAAAATCAAGTGTATTATCTGTTCTTACCAGCTTAATAGCTGATATGGTCTCATTGCACGCTGCCAAGAATTATTCTGTGAGATATAGGTTGACCCTAAATTTGACCAGCCATCTCACTCACAGAGCGACTCTAAGCGGTGTATAATGAGAACATATCAGATATGAAACTGATATTTTATAAATAAATAAAGTGGTGCTGCTGCTAAAGTAACAATGGGTGGTTATGTTGAGATGTGTTTATGGTCTGTAGATCAGCATTCTTTGTAAAGGGGGCATACAGAAGCAGATATCATAGTTATCAGTCGGAATTATAATGGACTTTAGAAAATCTTTCTCAGATTGAAGCACTGGAGATCTGACCACAAGAGTCTTCAACTTTTAATCAGTGAATACTTCTATAATTCACTCAATTAATGTTGAATAATATTCTTGAGTATTACTGAGAATAAATGTTCTATTTCAGAGTATGTTGTTCTAAGCAGGCAATGATCTAACACAAGTGCCTAGGATGAGATGGGCCATAACAATTTGATTGGCAATACATTAATTCATAGATCAACATTGAATAGTTAAATATGTAATAAGTATTAATATTCTTGGTAGCCCATGCATTGCAAATAAAGAGAGCATATTTTACTTGATTTTTTAAAAATGTGAGAATATCCCATAGTGTCATGTAAATAATATCAAAATTGCATATCCATCTCAATATCTTTTAAATATGTTGTGTAGTTTTTAATGCTCAAAATATAGCAGAATTGTGAAACAAAGAAGAACCAAAGCCTTATGATAATATCAGAGCATTCCCACAATAACTTTAGTAACTTTTGATCACTTGGATTCTGTAGAAAACAAAATATATGACCATTGATAAATCTGAAAGTCAGGAATTTTTTTTTATATATATATATAAAAGTAAAACAGCAATCAGTTACATCAGTAAAGGATACCTTACATTTTGTAAATTCCTATTCCAATAATCCTTTTTCACTTAAAGATATTATTTGATTCACAGTGTGGCTCTATACAATTGTATCTGAAAGTAAATGTTAGAGATTTGAAAGTCAATAAATCCTAGTGCTTTCAGAAGGACTAAAGAACATTAAGAGAACTGTACTATTTGCTGATTGCCTTGCTTTGAAGCATGTTAATGTTTTGAATTGATCTTATTTCATACACAGCTCTGGTTTTAGCTAATGCATCAGTTGGGTATCCGATATACAATGTTCATATTCAAAGCATTAATTTGATTTCATTTTATATGCTAATGTGTAATCTTTCCACTTCTAGAAAAAGATTTATTGATCAAAATGTATTAAGTTAGCAAGCACAAAGAAGCAGCATAATATAACCTAGATACAGTATAATTAAATCAGGAAAAATATCAAAAGGTTTTCACCTATCACAAAAATATGTTAAGATCCAGTAGGCAGATAGGTACATTATGGATAAAAAACATTTCTACCACAATTCCTATTACAAGTCTGGGGGTGGGGGAAGTGGGGCATACCAAAAAGTAGCCAGTATTAACTCCAAGTAGTATTTGTCTAGGGAAAAATATCTATAATAGGTACTGAAGGTTGTTTTATTAATTTCCTGAAGTTTATAGGATGGCCAACAGTATCTTCTATTCTTATTTTATCCACTTATTTTTTCTATTCAAAATTCTAACATATACTAACAACAGTGCTGGACTTTTTAAAGAGGAGAAGTTTAATAGAATAACAGAGTTGGAAGGGACCTTGTATTTCTTCTAGTCCAACTCCCTGCTCAAGCAGGAGACCCAATACCATTTTATTTTAGACAAGTGGTTGTCCAATCTCTTCTTAAAAACCTCTAGTGTTGGAGCACCCACAATTTCTGAAGGCAAGTCTTTTGACTGATCAATCGTTCTGTCAGGAAATTTCTCCCCAGGGCTTTCATTCTAAGATTCAGTGTAACTTCCATTCATTCTCCAGAACAAACTTTTGCACGTTGAAATCTGCCCTCAAAGTCTAACCAATCTAGCCTATTTTGATCAGTTATGTGTCTTAAATGGGATACTTGATTATGTTGATTTTAACATAATTGGAAGAAATTAAAGATTAAAAAAATACTTGAAGCAGAGTCTAGAAACAGTAGGGAAACTGTAAAGCTGATGAAAGTATTTGCTGTCTGGTCTCAATCCAGACATGGTTGAATGTTACTGACAGCATGCTTTAAAAAAAAAAAAAAAACGAAAAAGGCAGGCAGCAACTTTAATGAAATGCCCATTAAAGCAACTGTATCTTTTTAGACTCGTGCAGAAGGCTAAAAATGTACAGCTGTTTTAAAGAAATGCTGTTCCTATCCTTTGCATTTGGAAACATCACTTTCAAATCATTTTCAGAGCATGCATAGCCCTAAAAATAGTTGTTGGTATAAGGAGTATTTATTATCTCAGTCAGATGGGTCTCCTGGAGCTATCTTCTTTTTGTCATTAGCAATTAATAACATTTCTACCATGCCTTTCCACAATAGGTGCTTAGAGTGACTGGCAACATAGTTATTTTTATTTTTAGAAATTAATCAACATGGAATCAACCAAATAACACCAAGTAAAAGCAAACAAGAACTGCTGTACTTCATTTAAACTGGCCAGATGAAAAGACTTAGTTGTGGTCAGAGTTTTGGTAGCTCTTTGTTGCAGCTTTCTCAGGCCAAATCTCATACTTTTGAAGAATCTAAGTGTGCTCTTAAAAGCCAGTGAACAGCAGAATGGACATCTCTTTCTGTTCTAGTATCTGCTGGGGGGGAGCTGGTGTTGGGGGGCAAATATGATACTGAAAGGATAGATAGTTGTCTCTACTTTGAGCAGTTCCTCTACCATCCTTGTAGAATTGCACTTTTGCTTTAAACCACTCTCTCTGTGTCTCCTTGCAGCCTAGTGGAGTTGGAGAAAGAAGTTAATAACGTAAAGACTGGGTTGAAAGCTGTTGAAGCTGTAAGTATGTCATAGTTTCTAAACACACTACTTTAAAAATGTCCCACCAGGGATCTGGAGCAGGGGGTGTTTTGGTGAGAGAAGAAGGAGCTTTTCTTCCTTGTCAAGCAAAGCCTGTTTCTCTGAGACCATTCCCTACCCTTCACCCCTAGATCTCTTGCGAAAGCTGATGTGATGATATTAACAGATGTGCAGGGAAATTTGTTTGATCTGGGGCTGTGAGCAGGGGAACGGCAATTTGATCAACAGTGCTAATCCCAACGTTGAATACTTTTTTCTTCTTTCAGAGACTTTTAGTCTCTGAGCAGGTGTTAGATGTGGTCTCTGTGGACAGGTTTACACAGGCGGGGTGTAGCCTAAGTATTAAGGCATTTATTACCTGCCAGAATGATTGCCAAGTAGGGAGAGAGCAGTCAGAGCAAGTCTGAAAGGAGATAGCGACCTTGCTGTACAGCCTTCCCCAAGCCAGTGCTCTTCAGATGTATTGATCTTTTATTCCCCAGAATTACTGAGGTACTAGAATGACTGAAGTCCAACACACTTAGAGGGCCCCCCCAATGGGGGAAGGTTATCATATAGTTTTAAACCTGTTATTACATTAAGAAGTAAACACAACTGCCTACTACTCAAAGCCTTTAAGCTTTCTTTTTCCTTCATAGCAGGCATTTTGCTCTTTTAATGTCCTAACAGAACCTTATATGTGATGTAGATGCATAGATTGTAGGGAGCTATGTAAGATCAGTCCAGATACGGCTGGCATTTTTGTCTCCCTTTCTGTAGGCAAATGCTATTTTATGAATGAGCCATGGCATTTCACACCATTTCTGGCTTTTCTCTATTTCTTCCATACAGTTGTGTAGAAAAAAAATTCCATTGTAATTTGTTTTTAAAATAAGGGTTTGGAACAGTGCAACCTTTTCTTTTAGGGAGTAGTTCAGGCTTTGAATAGTCTTTCTATTTTCTGGATTAGTTGCACAGGCTCTGGGGTAATTTCTGTGGGATCACACTGAACTCATAAGGAAAGGAGCCAGCCAGCTTTTGCAAACAGAAAGACTTAGTCATACAAGATTCTTCAGGGTATTGCAAATGCATGAACTAGGATTGGGAGTTACAGCCAGTAACATCTTCTTTCTCATTTTATCTGTCATGGGCCTTCTGTGTGGCCTTCCTTTAGTCATGCTTCTTGCCTGTGACTTGAGACTGCTGGATTAGTTTACAATATCGAACAGCTTCTTAAGATTAAATATTTGCAACTGGTTGAGAGCATTTTAGAGATTTATCATTTCATCCATTTTCTCTTACTGAATTACTTGACTGCAAATATCATTTTTCAGTAATTTCCTTAAGATGCAGTTCTTTGGAGTTAGAACAATGAAATGTTAATGCCAACATTTAGTCAATGTTTACTGCATGTTTCATTTGCAAGGAATGAGTCTAACACAGGATTGTAAACTATATTAGTTACCATATAATGGGTGAAGAAGCCATTGATGGTGCTCTGTATTAGCAGACATAGGATATATTCAAAGAACAGAATAACACTTTTTTCTTGGAGCTATAAATACCATGCTCCCCTTGTAAGGTTATTTAGGAACAATGGGTATATGGGAACAGTTATATTGAATTAAATCATTTATATTTGCTGCTACTCTGTTTATCTACAAATAGCATTTTAATCCTTACTGTTAGACAAAGAGATATTTGGCAGTTTTTTTTGATCATATAATTGAGGACTAGGCTAGATGAGAGGACTGACCTTTCACTTAGATTAGTCGTCACTTGCAAAAAAAAAATGGCTAAAGACCTCTTTGTTGAACAATAAGGTTTAAAATGTCTATCTGCAAGTACACTGGAAATGGCATCAATTCCTTGGTTCTCTTGAAGGATAATAAACCTTACAGTATCACAGATCAGGGATTTATTTCCAAGCATCTTTAGTCCTGTTAGATTCAAACTTCTTTTTAATTTACGTTCAGAGTAGATTTTGGAATTCATTCCAAATTCTACTGCCAAGTTTAAATAATACCCTTTGCCTTCTTGTTGCTCTTCATACTACACACCCTTGACTCATAAACCCCCACAAAAGGTATTTGCATGGGAGATGCAGGCATCACTCCTTCCAATATGGGGGGGGGAACCAATTCTAGCAGATATTAAAAAGTACCTCCAATTCATTAAATGCTTCTCAATGTGTGTTTTTAATATGCATTTTAAAGCCAAATATTATAGGAAGTCAAGCAGTGGCAAACAGGTGGTCAGTTTGTTTGCTAATCCTGAGACGGTAGTTCTCAAACACTAGGTGTACAGCTTGACAAATTCTCTTTGTTAGGCCCATCTTCCAGAACAGGCAGAATTTTTAATTTAATAAGAAAGATCTTTGTGTCCCAGCAACTCCGTGATGGCTATTTCATAAAAGCAAGAGATAGCAATATGCAATTCTTGAATGGCAAACCGCTTATTCTCAACTTAGCCAGTGTCCTTGAGGTACCTTCTCCTTTTTCTTCTTCTTAGCCAAGCATTTTATCCCATTCATGTACCACTTCTTTTCCCTCCCATGTCACTTTATGATTATTATAAAACTTGGCAGCTAACATCTTCCAGTGTAGCTCATTCATTTCACTCTTTTGGAGGTATGTAAAAACGTAGCACTGTAACAACAATAGAAGGCCGTTGTTGGGAGGAGACGACAGGAAAAAGGGAAAAAAAGGCGCAACTGTTGACTGCATTCCAACATGTTCTCACCACAGTCCTGGCACTGACAGTGGAGAGGGTTCTTCAAGGCCCCTTCTTACAAACATCAGACTAAAAATAGGTTTACAGTCAGCTGCTCACAGAGGCACTTTGTAATCCGTCGCTTCCCAGGGCTGGCAGCACCATTTGAAAATGAGATGTGAGCCTAGCTTTGAGAAACTTCGCAGACTACAGCCAGCAAAGCAAAGTAAATCAAAATGGAAATCTGTAAACCCTCACTTCTCTTTATGAGGATTGCTGCCAAGGCATCAGCTCTCCTGCCAATGGCATTTGTAACTTTTATGGGATTGACTTCACTGTAAAACCGTTCAGACAAACAGTAGAAAGTAGGATTTTTAAACACATGTCTTAAGTTGGGCGCTGTCTATAGCAATGCAGTGTTGGTTTCTAAGCTTTTCCTCCAGGCAAAGGATAAAATAAAGAACATCCTAACCAATGCTCTCCAAAAGTGCTTATTCCAGTTAAAACAGAGAACAGTAAATAAGCCATTATTGTAACAAAGCCATTAGTGTTAATGCCTTATCAAAGGAGTTTGCTACCTCAGTTTAGAGGAAAAGAACAGGGGAGTAGGTAAAAAGAAGAAATGCATAATAAATGCCAAACAAAATACAATTGTAGTGTTGGGGAAGGAAGTCCTGTTGCTTTGATAAAGATGTGCTAATGGATCCAAAGTCAAGCTCCAGGATTTGTTAGAAGTGAGATAGGCATGTGTTTTAATACTCATTGTTAGTCAAAGTAGGCAATAATGAATTAGATGGACTGAGTTGTTAAAGGAATAAGGCAACTTTATCTAATTCTACAATTTTCTGGATTTCCTGCCTTACATATAATCAGATTCTTCACTTCATTCTTCATGAAATCAGATTCTTAATGCTTTCTTATAAATCCATTTTTCTCTAGGATGATACACAAAGAGATCACCTTAAAACCTTGTGGGGTAAATAAAATTGCATGGTATGGATCACATCAAGTGAGATTCAACTCGGTTCTCCTTAATTTGCAGTCCTAAACTACCATTGCGTCAAATTTGAATCATGAGATCAATTTCCAGACTTCCAGCAGAGTCCTCTGGCAAAAAGATTTTCTTGAAACCTTCATTTGGGGGGGGGGATGTGACAAGAGCAGCAAATGTAATCTCAAAATAAGAAAGTTTAACCAAAATCTAATGAGTTATTATTGTAATTTGTCGGGATGGTGGTGGTAGAAAATTAATGTACTGTTCTAAGTAAGTGAAAGCTATGCAGAGGTTAGAATTTAAGTGGGTAAATTTAAGTGGTAAACTCTGCTAGGAAGCAACAGTCTTGCAAAGAAGGGATAACAACTCTGTTTGAAATTGTCCTCGACTGACCTCCTGAGGTCATTCAAAATATTTGCAAGGGTTTTTTTTTTTTAGAAATGTTCAGACATCCTGAATCATAGTAGGATAGGATCTTCTATGTTGTCAAAATTGGAAAGAAAAATATAACTACAGTATATTACGTGGTAGCAAGCCTTCTGGAGCAACTAAGATGATTAAAAGCCTGGAGACGAAAACATGGAAGAACAATGGCAGTAATTGGGTATGCTAGCCTAGAGAAAAGAAGGACTAGGGGTGATATGATAGCAATAATCCTGAAGGGCTGCCACAAAGAGAGGGTCAACTTTTTTTCCAAAGCACCAAGAGGCAAGACAAGAAACACTGGATGGAAACTAATCAAGGAGAGAAGCAACTTGGAATTAAGGAGAAGCTTCCTAACAGTGACAACAATTAACCAGTGGAGCTGCTTGCCTTCAGAAGTTGTGGGTGCTTCATCACTGGAGGTTTTTAAGAAGAGACTGGACAGCCACCTATCTGATATACTATAGAGTCTCCTGCTTGAGGATGTGGTTGGACTAGAAGACCTTCAAGGTCCTTTCCAGCTCTTTTTTAATTCTGATTGTTTTGCAATTGATTGTTAGTAGAGAATAGATTAGGATTTGCTATTACCTTATAATCGTAGCTATAATGTAATGTTCTCAAGCTGTTGGTAGTTTTTTTTGGTGATATTCTGGTCGCTCTTAATTTGAGTCTTCCCAGATGACCCTTATTTTCTTCCCTTTTTCATTGCCGTCATACATCATCCTAAATCATGATGTGATTTGCTTAATTTTAGCTTAATGTTTCGTGTAAACTCATTCCATATGGATTGCAAATCACAAAATGGTTTACTTGCAAGTACAGGCAACCCAAAGCTTGCTAGAAACTGAAAATTTGTAGTGGCAAGATGGCTAATCTTCAGAGATGCAAATATTTTTTGGTTACAAATACAAAACTACAAGTTGAAATGGATGTATTAAAATTCTAATGTACAGAACACAATCATTATGGTCTTTAAAACTGCCTGGAAATCTTTGTAAAGGACCAAGAATGTTTAATCCTGCCATTTGATAACATCATTGTGTCTCAGGCAGAGGTGGGTTTCAGCAGGTTCTGACCAGTTCTGGAGAACCGGTAGCAGAAATTTTGAGTAGTTCGGAGAACTGGTAGTATAAATTCTGAATGGCCCTGCCCCCATCTATTCTTTGCTTCCCAATTCCCAGTTGATCAGGAAGAAATGGGGATTTTGCAGTAACCTTCCCCTGGAGTGGGGTGGGAATAGAGATTTTACAGTATCCTTCCCCTGCCACACCCACCAAGCCATGCCTACCAAACCATGCCACACCCACAGAACCGGTAGTAAAAAAAATTGAAACCCACCACTGGTCTCAGGACATGCCTCTTGCAGCTTTTGAGGCAAAAAAAAAAAGTGGTCATCCACTTCTGGTTTGGTGTGATGTGTGAACTTAACCAATTGTGGTTTTCAGTAATTCTAGTTAAACCAAACTGACTTGATTTGGATATGGGAATTATTTTTACATGGGTTCAGTCGCCATTTTTCAGTGTTTCTTCCGAAGTTTAAGTGTTGTCTTTTTATATTATTGTCTGTCTTGCTAGCTACCAATTAGCTGTTCCAATCTTTTTCTTTCCTTAGGAGCTAGATTATCAGCAGAGGCGTATGCGGGAACCAGGTGATAAATTCATCCCCATCATGAGCGACTTTATCACAGTAGCCAGTTTTAGTTTTTCTGAGCTGGAAGACCTTCTGAATGATGCAAGGGATAAGGTAAGACATACTTTTATTTTTTATTTTTTTAAATCAGTATTTCAGGCAAATAGTCATTTTCACCAAGCAGCGGAATGAATAAAGCTGGACTTTCAGTTCTACAAACAACCCCTTTCAAGACATTTTTTCATTCTCCTTGTCTATTTCTAAGTCTCAGTAATTCTTAGTCACTGAGAGTGGTCGGTCATGCTTTGGACTCAGCCTTGAACTGAATTGTGGGACTTCCAAATTGGAACAGATCAAAGTGAAAACAGTCTCCATTTGCCTATGAAAAAGTGTCTCCTAAATATTTCAAAGCTGTAATTCCAAATCCCGCTTGATCCTCAATCCATTATTAACTTTCAAAAATCCATATACTAAGCACCCTTTTGCTACATATTCAAAAATATATATATTCTTAAAACTTTCAATATCAAATTTACACCATTATCTTTTAAGGAGAAGGGAACTCACCTGATGAATATCTCCAATATCTTAAACTCTCCAATATACTTTTTTTAAAAAATAAATAAAAGTGATTAAAATATAAGGCTTGCTCAAGCATAATGTCCTTAAAGGCGGTTTTGCAAGTTTGAACTTGATATAAATCCCAACTCACAACCACTTCAATCATAAAATGACTATGAAAACAACAGTTTCCATGGTCTATTCATGAGGAGCAGCTGTCCAAAGTCACATGGACAATCTCAATGATCTGAAGAGATTAGGCCAACTCAGATCCAGTATTCAGTGGTGATTCCTCTCACAAAGCTGTCTTGCTAGCTAACAAAAGCCAGCTATGGCACTTATAGGAAGTAAAATACTTATTTCCAATGAAACATTTTTATTTTAAAAAGTGTATGGTTCTGTCATTGTTTTACCTAACATGCAGACCAGTATGTAATTGTTAAAAAATAAGTTGTACATTTATTTCTTGCCCAACCCTAATTCTAGTGAAATCTAGTTTTACTGATTTTGAGGGGAATGACAATATTGCAGAGTTTCAGAACACCTGTCATAGGTTATTGAGCTAAAACTTTGATTTCATCAAACACACATATGTGACGCAGTTCAGTTAATACACTGAGTTTTTGAAAAGGGGTCTGCTGTCATATTTCAGCAACCAAAATGAATTCTACTTTTATGATTGAATATGTTATGCTTTCATGTCCTTATCTAAGCCTTCTCCACTCCTCGGGGAAGGTGGTGGTGATCCTACTAGCCAATGTAATCAAACGATCCAAGTGAACCTGTTGTAGGCTGCTTCAGATGAGTAACAAAGGATTAAAAGCAAATAATATCTGGTATATAAATTATTGGTGTGATCTGTATTGTTCTTGTTCCAAGAAAAGCAGGAACATATGCCAACTTCCTAGCATATTACCCCAATCCAAACAGGACACTTCCTTCTGAACTGCTGTGCTTCATATCCCCAAAGCCAGCTTTTAATGTAACCTAGAGAATAGAGTATTATTTGCTCCTGACTAGAAGTTGGCATTATGCCCATAAGTCCCGAGGGTGAGGAAGAAACCGATAAAGAGAAGTTACAACAGCATGAAATTGTTTGAAGAATATGTCATAATGTAAATAAGGTGTGACAATGTCAAATCTTTCCTTCTTTGCTAGTGCAATAAACATTACATTAAACAAAGTAAGTATCCCATTCCTTTTTTCTCCTTTATGTTAGCAGCTTGTCAAAAAAAGACGGAAATCCTATTACTATTATTTGGTTATTAGATTTTTCTGATGGCCAGTTATGATTTTAACTGCTTATTAAATTGCTTATTGTTTATAACCTGTGAATTTCTTAGCAAGTGATACAGGAAACTTAATTTCAGTCCCATTTTGAAGACCCCCTAATTGTCTCTCAGTGTAGCATGATTCCTTTGAACTGCACCATCACATATCATAATTAGGTACATATAAGCAGAATTAGCTACCTGTTCTCTGTCCTGCTGTTCTTGCTATGTATCATTTGATGTGTGGCTCTTATCCAGATTTGACTTATTCCAGATTGATTTAATCATCAGAACATTCTTTTTTTAGTCTGAGAAGTACCCAGAAAAGTACCCGGAAAAGTAAAAACAAGATAATTCTTTCCTTCAGGCTTACAGTTCAGAGGTCTTTCTTCATAGGTGGCAGTATTAATATGATAGCCTGGCAACCCTAATTGGGCTCAGTTTCTATGGATCTGGCCTTTGATCACTTTAGGCTACCTCATACTTTCTCTCTTCCTGAAAGTTCTTCCCGAGCCATTTTAATCCCACCACAATTCAGTGGTGACTAAAATTGTTAGCATTTTCCTCTCTTTTAAGGGAAGTATGATGTGATAGTATGACCAGTTCACTTTAATGGTTCATACATTCCTGTACCTACATGCTGTTCTTGGTAGGAATATTTTTTTATCTTGGAAGGAAAAAAGAGATGGGAGCTAGTCTGGGCGATCCATCAAACAAACATTCCCCTAAAAAGACCTACCCACCAGTGGTGGGATTCAAAAAAAATTACTACCGGTTCTGTGGCCATGGCTTGGTGGGCGTGGCATGGCTTGGTGGGCGTGGCAGGGAAAGGATATTGTAAAATCTCCATTCCCACCCACTCCAGGGGAAGATTACTGCAAAATCCCCATTTCTTCCCGATCAGCTGGGACTCAGGAGACAGAAAATTGTTGGGGCGGGGCCAGTCAGAGGTGGTATTTACTGGTTCTCTGAACTACTCAAAATTTCTGCTACCGGTTCTCCAGAACTGGTCAGAACCTGCTGAATATCACCTCTGCTACCCACTCACATGGGCAAAATATTTTGTCAGCCACAAAATACATAAGAGAAGAATTAAAGACGATACAGGATATTATTATGCAGACCGAATTCTTGTCTATGTAGCAAAGATTGGGTTATGATATGTCTTAAGAAGACATATCTCAGGTGGAAAAGAGAACAAAGAAGAAATAGACAAATAAGACAAACAATTTCTGAAAAGAAAATGAAGAAGGAGGGCAAGAAATCTGTGAATGGCAGCAGCATGCACACTTGTCATTTCTTCACGAGCTACTGTTTCTTTGCTTCTGTTCTGACAAGGTGGGTGGTTCAGTTAAGTGATAGGTTTCCAGCTTGGTTTATATCCACTGAAACATGACTACATCCTTCCACCATGAGATGAAGTCTTCAGACTCTGAGTAATTTCAGGAAATCTAGTGGTCCACCCAATTGTGGTCTCGGTTAATGATGCCACTACACGGGTCCCCATTTGAACCTACCAATGCAGCAGAAATAGCCAGCTGCTAAACCCAGTCCTGTTATATTGTATCCTGAGACAGGACCGAATCTTTTGCTCTCCCTGTTGTTTTAGAAAATTTTGCCTCTTCTGTGTTTTTGACATAGTTTGTCTTGTAGCGTAGCCATCACAAGGTCAGTGCAAACGTGAAAGAGGCTCTTCATTTGAAAATGAGGAAATAGAAATGTTATAAAAATAAAATAACCATTGTATTATATCTGGTTTTAGTCAGAATTAAATGGTTTTTTTTTTAATCTTAAAGAAACAAGTATGCTATTTCAAGCTGTCAAACATCTGTCTTTTAGCTTTGGGCTAATATAGTATTAACTTGAACCTTAGTGTACGTAGGGCTTTGCTTCCCAGATCCTTCACTTTTGTTTGGTTTTTCTTCATTAAAATAACCTTTCTTCTTGATTTTTTTTTAAAAAAAATTCTATTTATTTCTGGACCGCTTAGCCGGTAGGACTAAAATATACAAGTGGCAAGCCAAAAGGAACAGGGAAGGACAGAAGGCAAAGTGTACAGACTCTCAAAAAGGCCTGGCTTTAGTGGGAATGTTACCTGTTGACTGAATTGAGTTTCCAAAGTAACCAGGAAGAAGGAGATCATCGTTAAGCTAGAAATCTTCCTCGCCAGATTTCATATGCCTTGGGATCCACTTTTGAGCCATAACCTGTATATGTTTCTTTTTAGTACATTACAGATGGATGTACAGTCTTTTTTTTTTTTTTACTTCTAACTACAACCTGAAATCTACATCTGAATGGACAGTGTGGACTTTCAGCTTTCCATGCTCCACAGAGTCCTTTTAATGAACATTGTTTTAACCTACCTGATAATGTGGTCATTTCTGCTGCTTTTTCCTATGAAACAGGAACCTCTTATGTTGAACTATAGTGAACTTTAATAATACCCATAGAAGAAGGGGGAAATACATTTATTTGACACTCGAAGGACTGTCCCATGTAGTGCAGTAGCTTTATGGATGTCAAGACCATTTCTTATAACAAAACATATAACATAAAATAGTTATATAATATAAAAGTTTTCTATTTATCTGTGCCGATTCAGCTTAAGGACAGTCTTTCCTATTGCTAATGTCTTTCCAACATATTGTGCAATTTGTTTTCTGGAGTTGTATGGATTAAGATAGTAGTGAGTTATTTTAATCCAAAACAGGATTTAATCATACTGGGGAAGGAAAATCGAGTTCCTGTTTCTGCTAAATTAATTAAAAAGTATTTGCACAGCAAAGCCAATCTTTTCTGGAAGTGGCTGAGTATAGATTTGCCAACATAATACTCTCAATAAGAGAAGTCTAATACTAATTACTATAACATGTCCAATCATTTATCACTCCCTAATGTCTTTTCATAGCATGCACACATCTATTGTGCTTGAAGGAGCTTATTTTGAGTTTTGGAAGAGTGCATAGCTTTTACTCCTCCTCAAATACTGAGCTGCATGTGGACCTAGGATCTGAAATCTTCTATCTCCAAGAGAATCTAAGCTTTTTCTTAGAATTATTTTTTTATATATATTTCTATTTTCAATATATCAGATGCATTTCTATGTGTTCAAACTTCTCCAAACTCTGTGGAATCTCAGTTGGTGAAGTTGTATTATCTACACCAGAGAAACATTTGCAACCAGCAAGTAAAGATGGAGGCAAGACTATACACTGTAGAACCCACAATATTGTTCCATTTGAGTTTTGCAACAGAACATGAAGTATGATTTTTATGAATGGAAATGGTACTTAACACAAAGATTGGTTAGTAGGCTAATAAAGAAGTGTTACAGTGGAAGCACAACTCTTTCTGTATGTGAATCTGGCAATATAAATGCCAAGGCCTAAATGGTAGGGTAGTATATTTTTAAAAATGCATTGTTTAAAACAGGGATGGAAAAATGTCTTGCTCCTAGGGCACACTGAAAGCTTTCAATCATCAGTAGATGAAAGACGGATTAGTTCCCCTATGAATTTTGAAAACTGGACGAGCCAAACATTATTTGCACATAAAACCCAGACCATCATATTCTCTTACATATTGGCTCCTCTCCCCACAATATCTTCTCTTGGCTGAGTATGAAGGTCTGAGAAGGCATTGGTTGAGTATGAAGGTCTGAGAAGGCATTCTGAGCATTGTTCAGCTAGATACATTTGGAAATTGTGCAGCTATTAATCCTACTTGTGCATGTGCTCCCTTTAAGAGTGCCAATGTGATAAATCGCTTCACTTTTTTTCAATTGAAAGCTAAGGTACATGGCCAAAGCAGCGTGATTACAACATGGGTTAGATCCATAAGATTGCAGATCATTGGACAGCTTTGGTGTGATTGATTGAAGAATCCAATCAGTGCAATCCATTTTCATTTATTTAATGCACAAATTTCAGCCCATCTGTGGTATAAAACATTTTTATCGTGATATTGTCAATGAGCATTGACTACTCATCTGTGCATGTGTCAAAATAACTTTGACACAAGAACCCAATCAGTGCACACTGCTACATGAAACTATTGTCTTCCTTTTGGATTTTCCAATGCATGATCCAAGACAACTGAATTCAAACATTCTGGGAAGTATTGTGCTTGCAATAACCATTTAATTGTTAGAACCGCTAATCAGAGAATCCTCTGCAACACATACACACACACACAATACTTAAGCAAGAAGAAAGATGGGAATGCATGAACTTAAAAAAAAACAAATTATTGCAAATAATGCATTTTTCAACTGAAAGGTTTTTAAAATTTTGTCATTCTTTTTCTTTACCACCTCAAATAACAGTTCTGCCATCTGGCACATTTTCCATAATTTTGTTTTCCTTCTGGTCTGAGAAGACCTCTTCCCCGATTTTTCCCCCTAAACTTCCTTTTGCAATGGCATTTCTGCAGCTGCTTAGTTTCATTGGCAGGGGTAGCAGTGATTGAGTGCTGCTGTTCCTCTTTCTACCTCTGTTGAAACAACTTTACAAAATGAACAACTGCCTAAATTATTTGCTTTGGCAAAAAGACAAATTGACTGGAAAGTTTGGTGGTAGGAGGACTGCTGGCACTGAAGTCTGCAGGCCTATTATGTCGTAAGATGAAGGAGAAAAAATTATTTATTTTAACAAAAATACATTTGTTTCTCTTAGGTTACAGAGAGTAAAGGGGTATGTCATTCACATTACCAGGCTATACAGTTGTGGGTCAGGGCTTGATGCCATTCCTAAAGGGTTTTTATTGGGTACTGGGGAAATGAAATCATTGTAGTGAAAAATCAGGCAAAGATATAGAGAACAGTATGGAGATCAACCAAGAAGCATGGATGCAGAAAGACTGTATTATTGTATCCAGAGGTGAACAACAACTGGGAAATTATTTTGGGATTGGTAGGGTTAACAGAAATGAATTAACAAAAAAAAGAATGTAATAGGCCCTACAGAACTGAATTGTAGTAGAAAGAAAAAGTATTCCTAACCCCAGTGTTGATAGAACCTGCCAGTGAGTGATTTCATCATAAAAGCCATTGAAGATCTAATAGAATTTGTAAGATAGGCTTTCTTTCTTAGCTTACATTGGAAGATCACTAAACACATCATTTATGTAGACTCGGTGCCAGGCAGAGGTCAACATTCAAACTGTTAAAGATTTAAAGGTATATATTATCCATGAGTAATCACCCATTTAATAGCATTTCTTCAAAAAAAAACAGTGCTGCTAAATTACTCACTGGGCAAGTAGTCATGTAAACTGTGCCTTAATCGAGGTTTCATTTTTAAGTTTTCTTTGAATAACCATTGATTTATAATAACAAGAGGCCTATTTAATATTAGAAATTCTGAAAACTGAAGCCTGTTATTCCCTATCCAGACTCTGACAGCCTTCATTCTGTCATAGGTTTGCTCTTCCTCTCAAAGAGACAAAACAGCATGGCTGTTGATGATTGTTGGTGTGAGGCATGGAGGTTAGATTTTGGATTTGAGATTTAGGTATGAGCTATGGGTGAATTCTAAAGATCCTATAATGGCTTTGAAAGTTTGTATCTGTATCTGTAACCATGCTTCTTCATTGGGATTTAAAAGCAGTTCCAGAGTGGGGTGCTATCCAAGCTGCTAAATTCCTCATTAAGTTCCACTGATGTTGTTGATGTAGTTGTATTTTTGTAGATTCTATCCATGCCAGAAAGAAGAAAGAGTTACGTTCACCAGTCTGCATTATTGTTCGCCAGTATTCCCTGTCATTCCTTCCCAGTAAGATTAGACAAGATCTTATAATATATCTATCTTAGCATTATGTCAGAAATGACAGTTGTCAGTTTTCTATCAAGCCACTATGATCTCTTGTTTATATGGAACAATGAAGTAGGAATTAGTTTTGAGGCTTTCCTTGCCAGAGAGTTCCTGGTTTGTCCAGCTGCTCACCCACTAGAAGAACAAACAGGAATCATTGGAAAGTATGTGTGATAAGTGATTGTTTCTTGCATTGTTTCATCATTTTGTGTGATTTTGGCAGAAATTAACAAAAGTACTAAATCCTCATGATTGTCAATATTTCTTCCAGTCAAATAGAAGCCCATTCTTCATGGTCTCTCCACTTTTTGCCTAGTGCATAAAATATGTTCTGGATTATTTATGCATTCTGCTAAATCCCGGAGCTGCTCCAAAGCAGTCTAGAGGAATGCAAATTTGTCCATTTGTTTATGCTTAGCATTCAACTTTGTGAAGTATAAAATTTTTTCTGGAAACTTTTCTTAATATTTGTATTTTCCTATGCAGTTTTTTTCTGCATAGGGGAAATGCAGATTATAAATTCAGGCTTTTGTATAGGGTTTACCCAATGTGTAGACACTTAGGGATTAGGGAATATGTTTAAATTGCTAGTAGATCATAAAATTTAGCAGAGTTTGCTGAAAAGGTTCATTCCATGTTTTGGTCAGTTCCAAGACTGAAGATATAATAAATTAACATACCTGTAACAATTTGGATGGAACAAATTTCTCATTTATCCTTGTTGATACGAAACATTTCTGGTATTTAAATTTTGAATGTGTCTCTGAAATTGAAACAAAATACAAAATATACATTCTCCATGAAATTGAACACTTCCGTTAAGAGATCATAGTATTTTTTTTAATAAACATTTGCTGTATTCTTTTCCTTCTAAATGCCAAGCGTTTTTCTTCCTTCCTTTAACAGTATGCCAAAGCACTGAAGCATTTTGGAGAGAGTGAGGGAAGGATGCAGCCAGATGAATTTTTTGGCATCTTTGACACCTTCCTGCAATCCTTTACAGAAGCTAAGCAAGATCTGGAGAATATGAGGAAGAAGAAAGAAGAAGAGGAGCGCAGGGCGCGCATGGAAGTCATGGTGAGGACTCAAAATTTAGAATTTTTTAAAAGTTCTCTTTTTTTTCCCCAAAAAAACAATTTCCTGAATGTCTTGGGAAGTTAAAGGCAGTGTGAATAAAGGACGTATTTTTTTAACAGTGTAATTTTGTACATGCCAGTTCACAAGACGGCTTGCGTCATTGTTTCTCTTGGGTTCTTCGTAAACGGAGAATAACCTAATAGTTTTGCAAGGCTGAAGGAGCTAAAGAATTCCTTGCCAGTCAACATGGGAACAGATAGCAAAGCCTTCTACTCAGAAAGGAGAGGAGTTTGTTCCCAGTTCTGTGCTAGAATAAGTGATGGGGATGCAGTGGTAGGTTGCTCCTGATTCGGTCCGGTTCTATAGAACCGGCAGTAAAACCGGCGGGAGGCTCCGCCATCCACCACAACGTCATCATGGGTGATCTCCGTATGCGTTCCCACTGCAAACCGGTAGTAAAGGTAAGTGGAACCCACCCCTGTGGGGATGTTATAGGTGAGGGGCAGAGGAGAAATTATAGATGGCCAGGATGTGATGGTTGTGATCTGCCATAGTATTATTGATGACACTTGAATCAGTTGGGATCTTACAGCTGCTGAAATCAGTGTAGTCAAAATAACACTCTTATACCCATATTAGTAGGAGGAACAATTCTCTCTCTCATTCCTCCTAAATGTTGAATCCCCTGGAGAATAGCAAGAATGGAGGCATCTTTTTCCTTCACTGAAAGCCATCCTTATGACTTTATCCTAATTAGATTTTTACCTTAGTCTTTCTTCAAGGAGACACTAATTTCTCTCTCTCTCTCTTTTTTTTATCTCATCCATTCCTTTGTCTCCCCAGCATCTTACCCCTGAGGCAAATTAGAAAAAAAATGGTCCAGTTCAGTATGAAAGGGGCTCAGTTTGGCAGCCTAATCACTTCACCTCACAGGATCTTAGAAGTAGTTTCCAGAATATTTCACAAATTGTTTTATGTTCAATCTAGAGTTGTCTTGCTGGCTTTAATGAAGCAATTGTTGATACAGATGTGGTTTGCAAGCTAAGTCACTTTTATCCAAGGTCTTTTTTCAGTCCCCCCCCTTTTTTTTTTTTGCATATTTTCATTCCAGGCCCATCATTTAGAGATGCCCCATGTTCTAATGTAATGTTAAGAATCCGATGTTATTTACGCTTATTTGCAAAACCCACAGGGTGGCTAACAAACAGAGAAAAAGCAGTTAAAAGTTCAGTTTAGGACTATAAACCCCAGGGAGCCAGTATGTCTTATTCCTGACCTTTGTAAGTCACTCTGGGAGTTTTTTCAGTGGAAGAACAGGTTAAAAACGCTTTACATAAATAAATAGCAGAATGTTAAAAACAGCAAAGGAAAGGAAAAAAAGCCAAACTCCATAAAATACAAACCAAGGAAACAAATAACATAAGATAGCTATCATTTTTAGATGTATTTGGCTAGCTACTGTTACAAACAGGATGCTGGACTAGGTAATTTTTGAGACTGATCCCAAAAAGTTATATTTAGCTTCTTCTACAGATAGTCCTTGATTTACAACCATTCATTTAGTGATTGTTCAAAATTATAACAGCAGTGAAAATAGTGATTTATGACCATTTCCCCCCATTCATTACTGTTGTAGCATCCGTATGGTCACATGATTAAAATTTGGATGCTTGGCAAATGGTTCATATTTATGACCGTTGCAGTGTCCTGGGGTCATGTGATCACCTTTTGCGACCTTCTGAGAAGCAAATACTATGGGGAAACCAGATTCACTTAACAACCATGTCACTAACTTAACAACTGCAGTGATTCATTTAAAAACTGTGGCAAGAAAGGTCATGAAATGCAGCAAAACTCACTTAACAACAGAAATTTGGGGCTCAGTTGTGGTTGTAAGTCAAAGACTCCCAGTATTGTTGAAGTTTGGAATTATCCCAATGAATAGCCGAATCTGTGATGAGGTTGCAGCAAATAACTACTTATGAATGTCTTTCTAAATTATTTCTGATTAGTTTTGTTCATGGTCTTTATTAGCACATTTTACAGCCAGCCACAATATTAAATCTGTGTGTATGTCTTAACAGCTTAAAGAACAGAGAGAGAAAGAGCGGCGTCAGAAGAAAGCAAAGGCTGGTAGTATCTCAGAGGAAGGAGGAGGAGAGTTTGATGATCTTGTGTCAGCACTGAGATCAGGTGAAGTTTTTGACAAAGACTTATCCAAGCTCAAGCGCAACCGTAAGCGTTCAGGGAACCCAAATCTGGAGACAAGTCGGGAACGAGCAATAACAAAGCTCAATTATTAAATATGGATGATGTGCAGATTACACAAAGTGCAAAATCGTAATGAACAACTGCTGCAACATGATGTCTAAAACCTTTCTGCAGGAAGCACATCTAGTGCCAATGGCTTTTTTCCCCCCCAGGATGAATTTATTCTCCTGTCTTGCTCTCTTCCATATTTACATAATCTGGAATGAGGGAAAAAGTGCCTCTCTAGTGCCCAAAGGATTTGTCATCAAACCTTCCTTCTGATTGATCGAATGGCTTCTCGATTCCACTACAACTTCACTTGGACTCTTTTGATGAAACAGGAAGCTCGGGGGCTTTTTGCACCAGTCACTTGGGGTGGTGGGTAGGGGAGGATCATGTGCCAAAGTTTACACTTTTTTTTTTTTAATCTCCAATGCTGAGAAAATGCAAGACAGTCTCAGGATGGTTCTGAATTTTCCTGCCATTCATGGTTTGGCCTGCCTTCAAGAGTGAATTAGTGGTATTATAGTATTGTGGTTCTCTTCCTCCACTGGATTTCCAAAAGGCCATTGACTTTGAGAAACATGACAATGGTCCCAAGGACTGGCATTTACTGGTGCATGACAAGCAAGTGATGTTGCGTCAGAGGAAGTAGCTAGAGATGTTCTGTTTCTGAGATGCATAAAATGTTTGGGAAACTCACTTTTTCCTCCCACTAATCACTTGAGTATTTGGAAGTTATTATTTGGAAGTCTTTATACCAAGTTGTGAGAAAATAGGAGGAACCATACTCTAAGAGTGATCATCATTAACCTGAACCTGATCAGTTATCATTGCTAAGCAATGTGGTAGGAAATGGTTTGGGGCATAGCAGTATTTCCATTTGTAAAACTGCATTATTTTGATAGCACAGTAACACAAATTATTTGAACTAATAAGATGTAGAAACTAGAAAAAAGAAATACACAAATGGTTTGCCTAATAGTTGAAAAAGAGAATCCAGTCGTTTATTGGAAGCCATGACTCAACTGGGATGGACATTTTTTCATTCTAACAGACTGGCCTTTTCAGCAAATGCAACCCTTCCAACAACATTTTCACAGTATTATGTAATTGTAAGGTGACTGGAACATTCAAGGATTTTTTCCCATCATAATGGAAGTGACAAAGAAAGAATTAAGATATATGGCAGACCCAGAAGGGATTATCCAGTATGTTTGAAAACAACTCTTGCAGTGACAATAAACAAGCAGTTTATCATGTAATCAGAAATTGTCTGCAGAACAGCCAAAACAGAGACATGCATATGTAGAGAGAGCCAAATAATACTTCCCTGTTTCATTGTTCTTACATGGTTGTACATTAATAGAACTATGCAGTATAGGGCTTTTTTTTTAATCTTATGAATTGAGTAGTTATTCATCAATTCTCAACTGGATCTCAGGAAAAAAAAAAGATGGTGCAACATGGAGGCAAAATTTAAGATGATGTTTGAAGAAGTTTTTCTGCAAGGGCAAAATCCATAGGATTCCAGGGATGATAAAAGACACTCCAATTGTCATGTTGATTACTTGCTTTTGTTGGTATGAAAAAATTGTGTAGATTTAAGTTTATTTCTGTAAAGTGGAAAATTCTCTCTCCCTCAAGCACAGATTAATAAGCCATATTGCAAGATTCCTCTACCAACATTGAGTTGAATGTTGGGAACCCTAAATAGAATTGCTCAAACCTTCAAAAATAATTGTCTTATTTTTGTATGGCCTCGTTTTCAGTACTCTGGTTCCAAATTTTCCTGTTCATAGCATTCCAGAATACAGGATGTTTTCATTACATATATGGGAAGATAATTTGCCTTTATATATAAAAAAAAAATCTGTCATAGGGCTGCCTCTTTTTTAAAGTAGTATTTAGAGCAGTATTTCTTAAAAGTGTGGTTGTGGCCATCCTCTCAGAAGTCCACAAAATCAAAATTCTTAATATTAAAATCCCATCAAATTGTGAGAAGTGGCAATGAATGCAAATTTTTAGTATAGTAAATGTTGATGAATATAATCCATACAAAGGAAAGTTCATTTGGAATCCTCTGTAATTTTAAAAAGTGGGAAGGGGTCCTTACAGAAAAAAAGTTTAAGAAACACTGAGTTATAAGATGATCCTTCATCACATGGAAACTGACCTCTCTGTCTATGAAGATTTTCAGTCATCCAGGTCATGATTGTCCCAAAGGTGCTTTTTCAAAAGGCATCTGGACATTCTGGTTTTTCTTTGAAGATGTTTCACTTCTCATTCTCATCCAAGAACTGAAGAAGTTTCTTGGATGTGAAGCAAAACGTCTTCAAAGAAAAACCAGAAAGTCCAATTGCCTCTTGAAAAAGCACCTTTGGGATGACCTCTCTCTTCCTCTTTCGGAACTGAATGATTCCACCCTAAATATTCTTGAAGATTAGCAGGGTTGTACTTTTGGGATTCTTCAGGATGAACAACAAGATATTTTAAAGAAAAATGTGAACGCTATATTGAGCTTATGGCTGTACCCTTTAGTAGAAATGTAGTATTACACTATGTCTCTTGTCTTGTCTCGTCCAAGAAAGACTAAAATGGCATAGTGCAAGACAAGCCCATTTTCCTTGCACCAAATCTCAAGATTACACCTTACTCAAAATAATCAACTTTGAGTTACATCGCTCAGTATTCCCAAATTCCTTAAGAGATTATATACCACAAATAAGATGCAGTTCTTCATCTGTGGCTATAGTCCTTTCCTTCCCCATAAAATATAATCTGAGCCATCTAATTGTTACTGCAGTAAGGTAAGTAAATAACATTGTTACTGTAGTAAGGAACCAGGATAAAAGAGAAGGTAGGTCTAACTATAGGTTTCAATGAGCATGATGTTCTCAAGTGACCATTCCTGATACAGACATCTCTTAATTTAGATGATGGGCAGGTAACCCTGATGTCTGGAAGATACTTAAGAATATTGCATCAGAATAACATTAGAAATCTCCTTCCTTTCAGCTAGAGTGACCATCAACATCAGCGGCCCCTGCAAAAACCTGAAGAGGTTGCCAATTATCAGTGAGGTACTTAGAGCAGAAAGAGGGAGATTCCGTGTTCAAATAAACAATGTGTTTTCCCCCCTAGGAATAGGGCAGTCAAGGAAGTTCATATGATAGTTGGAGAAAATTAGACATTTTATTTTTGCTCCTAGCTCTGCTATATAATGCCTCGTTTTTTAAAAAATATTATTATTGCCAGTATTTCTGACTTGGTTCCACAAGAGGAAGTACTGGAGTACGGCTTCACCTATTCCTGTAAAATCTACAGCAACCTGGATCAGAGATTTGTAGGTCTCAGTGGTTTCAATTCTGTTCCTTGCAGTAAGTTTTTTTTTCCAGAGCAATACCTAGCAGTCTGGTTTAGCAATTGGTTTTGTGGGGAATATCTAAAAATAATATTAAATATAATTACACATACAATAAGATTCATTTTGTTTGTAATCAGGGCTCGCTGTATTTTGAGTCATTCCTTCACTTGGGAAATGTCAACTCCCATGAACAGTTGATGGAATTTAGTAGCAACTTCCCATGACCTCTATTTCAGATTGTCATAGATTTTAAAAAAAAATAAATAGTTGGAGCTGAATTCTATGATCCAAAATAGAAGTTTTCAAAAAATCCCAGTTCAAACCAGGTTTTCTCAGAGGTGACATCAGAATTTATTTACCACCCTCACCCCTGGCCAAAAGCGCAGCATCTCTCTGTTGTGAAGATTATTGGCTCGACTGTTGGCCAAATGCCCATAGATTTTCTTTAGCCAAATGAAGCTATTGCTGACATTTGCAAATCACATAAAGCAATAGTGGGTTTCAATTTAGTTTGCTACCGGTTCGCTCATGTGTGCTCGCGCATGCAACACTTCTGCACGCACGCAACACTTTTGCACATGCGCAGAAGCTTCTGCACATGTGCAGAAGCTTCTGCACATGTGCAGAAGCAGGCGGATGGGCGGAGCCTCTTGCCACTGCTTCCGGTTCGCCCAATTCGGGGCGAACCGATAGCAACCCACCACTGACATAAAGGTACCGTTTTGTAGGTGCTTAAGGCCTAGAACCAGCATGGACTATTGAAATTAAATAAATAAAATCAAAATAGCAACAAAAGACCAGAATCCAGTTAAATCCCCCCCCCTTTTTTTTAACCATAGGTGGTTGGACGTTCTTCGGCCACACTCTCTGCTTTTCCTTATTTCTTGATATTCGGTAATTCATTAAAAAAAAAAAAACATCCCCAGAAGTGCTGCATTATTTGTGTTGCAAAGTTAGCAAGTGGGGTCTATAGCAGTCCACTCGAAATGCACTGATGCATGCATGCCTTGAAATTTGTGCATGCAACTTGAAGCAGAGAAATCCATTTCTCCATCCAGTTTTCTATCCCTCCCCCAGAAATCAGGGAGAGGACTGAACTTTGGCTCCTGTATTGATGTAGATAACAGCTGTAACATGTTATGTTCAGTTTATTCTCTCTCAAGAAGGGAACCTGAGAATGTTCAGGCTGGAAAAAAAAATATTCACATAGGGCTGAGAGGGAACAACTCTTACATCAAAACATCCAGAACAAATGAGATAACTCTCGTGGTATCCTCAATAAAAGTGGGTTTTGGGTTTTTGTTTTTTTTTGCTTTTCCACATCTTGCAAAGTTCTCAAGCAATAGTATCTCGTAGCAGTTTATCTGACCATAAGATATGACAGCAATAACTTTGTGGTTAAGAGGCCAAGCTGTGGGTTGCCACAGACCAGGGGAAAGAAACAAAGAGTAACTTTTTAACCATTATGTTGCCTGACTTAATTGGGGCAGCCCAAAAATAAGATTAAGCCTTTTGGGGAGATCCTGTTTCATGTAAATGTCTATGGAGATTCTCAGTTATCCAGTTAATGGTTATCCCAAAGGTGCTTTTCAAAAGGCAGCTAGACTTCCTTTGTTTTTTCCTTGAAGATGTTTTGCTTCTCATCTAAGAAGCTTCCTCAGTTCTGGCTGAATGGCGGGGAATGGAAGGGTTTGTATTCCTAGCAATTCCTTTGGAAAAGCACCTTTGGGACTGTTTCATATAAATTAGACAATTTTCACACAGTGATGCATTTATAGACTCAAAGCCTAATTTTCTTTCTGAGGTTTTGTGATAGGTTGGTCCTTTTTCTTCCACAGTCTCTTGACTATTTGTGTCATCCAGCTGTATCTATAGGTAGTCCTTGACTTACAACAGTTTGTTTAGTGACCGTTCAAAGTTGCAACGGCACTGAAAAATGTGAGTTGTGACCATTTTCACAGTTACGACCTTTGCAGCATCCCCACCGTCATGTGATCAAAATTCAGAAGCTTAGCAACGGGTTCATATTTATGACCGTTGCTGTGTCTTAAGACTATGTGATGCCCTTTTGCAACCTTCTGACAAGCAAAGTCAATAGAGAAGCCAGATTCCTTTAATAACTGGGTTATTAACTTACCAACTGCCATGATTCACTTTAACGATTGTGGCAAGAAGGGTCATAAAATAGGGCAAAACTCACTTAACAACATAAATTTGGGGCTCAATTGTCGTAAGTCAAGGACTACCTGTACTGCAGTCAAAGAGTTAAATGTTTAACACATAAGAAAGGGAGTTAGGGTTTGTCAAAATACAAACCATGTAAAATACCTGCAATATAGGGAAATAATTACTGGAAATGCACTTCTAACAGAAGCGGCTCTTTTGGATCCATTGCTGAAGAGCAGTGATTAAAAGTAATTTACCAGTTCTGGCTAGTAAACCTACTGTTTGGTAGATCCAACCCTGTTCGTCTATTTCAATCCAATGCAGCATTTTCTTTATGTGCAACATACCAGTTCATGCAAAGCATTCCAAGTTCTTTAAGGAATGATAAAGCAGTTTAAGTCGCCCTCACCCCAAAATGCTGTAGCAAATGTGACTTAAAGAGGTACTTCTCATTTGTAAGAAATTTCCATTTCTTTGGAAATACAGTCACCAGTGTTGTGTTCGCAGTAGAGAGAGAAAAGGGTGGAAGGATTTCATCATGGGGGATGCTAGACTACTGCTCTATTTGGTAGCTTTGCTTTTGCTTTCCAGGTTGAAACTCAGAGAGCATTTGTACAGTTCTGTTATGTACATGATGTATGCAGTCTTGTTTAATATTTTTTAAAGTTTTAATTAAAAATATTAGGAATATTTTTAAGGGAAACCTGTAAATGCTACATTTCTATTTATTTGGCCATGTTTTAATTTGCTTGTGTGTGTGTGTGTGTGTGTGTGTGTGTCTGTACACCATGTTGCAGCCATGACTATTGAGACTGCACCAGGGCATTATGAGCAAACTGAGTGATGTCTTGGTACTCCGTGGACAGAGCAGACAAGGGCTGGGCGTGTTCACTTTTATTCTAATACCACAAATGGGCTCTGCATCTTCAGAAAGGGAAAGCTCTTTGCTCAGAATGGCTTATCTTCCATAGTATATGACAAGAGTTCTCCTCCTTTCTGATGTTGCGGACCGGAGTGGCGGGGGGGGAAGGGGAGATTCCGCATGAGTAGTGAGTGTGTGTGCATGCATGCACATGCAGCTCCATTTGCATAAGCGGCGGACACTACTGCTTGCCCCCCACTTCCACCGCTCAATTCCTAATGGCTCAAGGCCCGATAATGGGCTGGGGGTCGGGGTCCCCTGGTGTATGAGACCCAAAGTGATCAAATGGATTTGCCAATCAAATCCAAAGTGTGAGGTAATGTCAGTCGCACATAAATGACACATGCAACTGGCCAGAGCCTGGGTGATGTTTAACCTCAGAGCCAAATTGGGGAGGAATGAGCAAGACAGCAACCCCCTTCCCCTATCATTTTCCTACCTTTTCTAGAAACATCTTCAAAATATGGAATTTTTGTCTCCGTCCTCTCAGCCACGTTCTAGGCAAGAAGGTAAGATGAGATCAAAGCCTTGAGATGGATTCTTCTCCCTAGTGAGTGATTTTGGCTTACCTGATAGTTCATGTTCCAAAGTGGTTAGAAGGTACCATTCTCCTCTCCTCTATGAGCACAGAAATAAGTGGAAGAATCCCAGCCTTTTCTATGTTAACTAATCTGCCTTAAGCAATCTTAAACATCTGTCTTTGGAGTGTCCCCATCCACAACCAGTAAAGGGCTTCTTATTCTTTGTGTGGATATCAAGTCACACTCTTCTAATGCTGTGGTGTCTCCTCATTTGCTGGTCAACTTAATTCTGTACCTGAATTAAATGTACAAACCTTGTAGCATCCTTTTTATCTGCACCTTTTATAAGAATATAATGTAACACTAAAAAGAAAAAAAAAGATGTCGCCCCTGTTTATTTCAATGAGTTATTTCGTTAGTGGAGCCAAATATATTTAAGCAATAAACTCTAATAATATTCACTAAACTTGTTTACTCTTTGGTTTTTCATTTCACAGCAGTATCATTCCATCCATGATGGATTGACACTTTCTGTTAATGCAGTAGTCTCCAAAATGTATTGGGAGGATGGGGATGAGAAAAGTTTAAGGAATAAGTATGTCCAATCAGGATTGTGGTTTGAAAGAGCAACTCTCAGAAATGGAATTCCCCAAATGGGAATATCCATAGTATGTCTACTTATTGGAGAAAGTGGTACCAACATTTTAAAACTTGCCGTGATCTCCAAAGTTTAATGACGACAAAAGTCACTGTGCCCCCTCAGTCCCAGAAAGGTTGCTGTACCATCTCTACATTTCCAAGCCACACAGGAATCATGTGAATGTTCTAGCATCTAGCAGGAATGTCTGGAACTCCCAGCTCCATTTATCTTCACAATAACTCAGTGAAATAAATAAGATTAGATTTAAAAACAGCAGCCTTGGGCCACCCACCCAGTATGTTTCGTACTTGAATTGGATATGGACTGAGAGCAATGTGCTAGGCCCACAATCATTGTTATTCTCACAGAGATTAAAAAAACAACATTCACTATCAATATATGATATTGTAATCAAAACTAAATAGACAAATGAAGCAAAATGATTCAATTTTATAACCTTTGAACTAATTAAGGAAGATCTGAGTTCCCTTAGGGTGGAATTCTAATCTGTTTGGGGCATTTTCACAACAGGCCCAACTTGAAAAATGTTCACTGGGTTAACATTTGGTTATGAAAGAGGGTTAGGAGAGTGACAAAACAAGATTCCAGAGTTTAAAGGTCTGTTGCAAATAAAGCCCTAGGTATGGGGTTCCTGAGGTTCGGGGCCTAGAGGAAATCTTCCCTTCCAGATTTTATTGCATAGGCGGATGCCGCAGGAAGTAGATGTTCTCAGCAACACTCTGGTCCTGAGAAAGGTGAGGCTTTAAAAAGGACAAAAACATGTTGAATTGTATTAAGTGGCTAACTGGTTAGAAGTGGAGTTGGCAAAATAGTAGTCCTATTAATGCTCAGGTAGTGCCTTCTGGACCAGCTGCATCTTCTAAATGAATTCAAGTGCAGCCCCATATAGAGTGTACTAGACAATCCATGACCCGTATTAGATCATCATTTCAGAGATATTTCCTTACCTAAATAATGATCACAGCCAGCCAAATTTTGGGAGCAGAAGCATCTTCTGTCTCCCTGTTAACTTTCCCCAGTAAGTTTCATTATAGGAAGCTGGCAGAGTGTCAAAAACTACTTCCTTCCTTCCTCCCTCCCTCCCTCTTCTTTCCCCTCCAAGTAGGCAGGTATCTGGCTGCTGTTGTGTATGAGAAGAGAAGGACTTGCAGAGACTGCATTTGGGTGAGATTTGCTAGTGGGAAGGTAATAAGAGGCTTCCCTATCCGGCTTTCCATTGACTTGTGGGAAGCTGTCAGGGAACAATGACAATGATGATGACATAACTGTCAAAATGATGTGGGTCATTTTGACAGCAACGCTGAACAGCAAGAGCAGCACATCAGTGCTGAAGAGGCATAAACGTCCCCAAATTTCATTCCTTTGGAAGTAATGAGCACCAGCCTTAGCCCATTGGAGGTACCTTTGTTGACAAAGTTTTGCTCTACGATGCAGTGTTTCACCCAATTGAATGTTACGAAGTATCAAATGGACACCAATGTTTTAATAGTATATACTACTATATACAGTGACAACAATTTGACCAAAAGATGATTAGGGTATGTGTGACTGTAAGAAGTGCTTCCCAAGCCAGAATTTGATGGTACACTGGTACACAAGATGGAGTTGCACATTGGCCCTCCTGAACACAACTGTCAGCTTCTCCTCAGTCAGCAGCTGGCTTGAGGGACTCTCAGATTATGTAGCATTCTTCTGCACAGGGGTTTATGATTCCATCCAGGGACGTCAGTTATCTTCCAAATCCAGAGTCATTCCATCTTGCTGGAATTAAACATGTGGGGTTTTTTTTCCTCTTGGGATTTTTATTTTCACAGCTCTACGTCTAATTCAACCAATTGTTGTTTTTTTTAAATACAATCTTTCTTCTGCTGACTTCACCCACCACACCAGAACATTTGCATGCTTTCCCTGGCTCTGGTCTTTTCTGCCAATAAGAATAACTGAGCTTTGCATGAATTCTCTGTGAACCCAAAAGCATGGAGCCTTTGGCAACATTTTGCCTTTTCCACCAACCACAAGTGGAATTAAATTTGGACAAAATATGGAGTGTCTCCTGAATTGCCAGCCACAATAGGAGACATGAGACTTTGTGGGTAGATAGAGTTATCACCTCTACTCAACTGTTTATTACTTAGAGTCTGTGAAGGATACCCTCCAATTTTCCTTCCAATGCCAATTTCCACCAGCAGTCAATGCCACACACAGATATAGCTCATAATATTTCTCTTCAGCACCATGGCTTGGCTGCAGAAGCAGAGATTACTAAAGCTTAACTCTTGAGGGAAAGGCATTTGCTTTCCTAAAGCAAATGACATCAGTGCAGAGTTCTCTAAAGGGGTATGAAAAAGCCCTAGCTACTGAGAAGAAGCAGAAGCTTCCCTCCACTCCACCAGGAATTTTATAAGATAATTTTTCTCAACAGGCATAAGGAAGCAGTAGCAATGGTATTTAGACTTACATACTAATTCATAGTGCTTTACAGCAGGGGTTCCCAACCCCCAGACCATGGACCGGCAGCAGTCTGTGGCATGCCAACAATTGGGCCACGCAAACAAGCGAAGCCCCATCTATGGGATGCAGGTAGCATGCAAACCCACGCCCCCTCCGGTCCATGGAAAAAGCTTTCTCCATGGAACTGAGTCAACCTTGAGTTGGTCAGAATCGAACTCCTGAGAGTTATAGCCTGCAATACTGCATTCTAATCACTGTGCCACCATGGCTCCTACTAGCTTTGAATCAATACCAGAAAAATCATCTATACCTTCTTTAAAAAATCTTCCATTAACTGTCCTAGTGATGCAACAGCAAAACCAACACCAGTCTAAAATAGTTTCCATCTCATGGTTTTATTAAAAAACCTTGGAATTTTAATCGTGATCATTTGTTCTGGGACACAAGACGGTGGCCTTCCTTTTGTTGTTCCTCCTTCTCTGATATATTGATGAATTTATTTATTTATTTATTTATTTATTTATTTATTTATTTATTTATTTATTAGTCCAATTTATATGCTGCCCTTCTCCATAGACTCAGGGCAGCTTACAATGCATTATAGCAATTGCCTGCATACTTTTTTGTATATACCTGCTTATTAGGGCTTTCGGGGGCCCCCAAGCGGTGTTGTTCTATACAAAGTTGGCTTATTGCCCCCACAATCCAGGTCCTCAATTTACCTACCTCGAAAGGATGGAAGCTGAGTCAACCTTGAGCCTGGTGAGATTTGAACTTGCACTAATTGCAGGCAGCTGGCAGCTAAGTACTAGCACTTAACAGCACTTTAGTCCACTGCACCACTGAGGCTCTTTTATTTTATGTACACTGAGAGATATGCACCAAGACAAATTCCTTGGGTGTCCAATCACACTTGGCCAATAAAAAATCTATTCTATTCTATCTAACAGGAACATAGAATGGCAACGTTGGAAGAGACCTTGGAGGTCTTCTCTACATATAAATACATCCCCAGGTAATTCACATAAACATAGAACAAAATCAAATTTATAGATTTTGTGATATTACAATTTGGACTTCACCGAAAAGATTTTTTAGGCCATTTCTCTTAATGTAGTTAATGAAATACAAGTTTATCAATGGTTTTCCCATTTCCTAAAATACACTAACATGCTTCCTGTTTCAATGTTTTCTAAAACAAGTGTCCAAAAAGATAGGCATTTTTAATTTTGTATACAAATAAAACTGCATTTTTTGTTCATCAAACAAACTTATTTTGATATTATCTCCATTAACCCATAATATTTTAACTCACCAATCATTAAATCATTTTTCATGCACTGCATTATTCAGGTTAATATTTTGTCCAGAAGCTGGAATATTGTGAAACCTGAGAATTCTACTGAATTCTACTGAAACCATCCTTGAATGGACTCCCTTGTCTACAAAGAGTGCATATTCTAATAAATAAATTCACGTGCCTCTCTGCTGTGTGCAAGTGTTATTTATTTATTTATTTTAAAAAGAACATTCTTAGTACAACCTCAGCAAATCTGTATAAACTTTTCATTACCTGGAAAACATTCCTATTTGTGCGTATATCCAAGAATTATTATGTAGACGTATAATGAAAGCATCAAAAAACATCATTAGCTACTCTGTCTGAATATAAGCATGAAAAATCCTTCTTCCCAAAACCACAAGGAGGAAATCCAATCTATTCATTAACAGGCAGGTTATATATTTTTTTAAAAAAACAAGCCTATCTAAATACCCTGTTATCAGTGCACAGATTTTTCAGAAATCAACACAATGCATACTGAATCATTGTAAATTCTGAGTTTTCTTTCAATAAAATTAATTCCGAAGCCCTTTTAGTATACATTAGGTCACTACATTTATGCATGAAAAACCAAACTTCAGAAAAGATTCATTTTTAGTTTAAGTATCTGCTGTCCTGTCCTGTTTACATTATATTACAGACTTAATGGCTGAAAGTATAGTGGTCAAGCAACTCAATGTAAAATGTATTAAGTTCTTGGACACCCCTAAACAAACCATCGTCCTGTAATGTTAGAACATGTTAGTGGTGCAGAGGAAACAAGTAATACATCTTTCCAACAGTTGCATTCTTGTTTATCACACTCATATCACAGGAATGTGTGCAGAACAATTTCTCATGTCATCAGAGACTTCTATAAGATTCAGTGATCTCGAGACACTTGATGTTCTCTGATACCACAGGAAGGAACCAAAATCTAATTATATGCTTCATACTTACACATATCCTAGGCTTCTTATCAAGTGCACTTATTAAAAAAATGTGTTATTACTTTTTACCATATATAGGACATGTAGGAAAATACATAGCAATGTGAAGCAGCAACAATTCATTTCCCTTCCCCGATAAATATGACATACTTCATTCCATTCAGAAAGACTTAAAGATGGAATAATGAGGAGTATACATCAGATCTGTCTGTGTCTATAGCCATTTACTGTTTTCTGTTCTCACACAGAATTGAAATTTGGTGAACAAATTAAACAAACAAACAAAAAAAAATCACAGTCACATTCAGGCTAAAGCTAAAATCTTATAGCTAAAGTTACCCAGATGCACAGAAACATACATTAAAGGGAATGACTCTAAAGAGACATCAAAAGATAACACCAACAATCTTCAGGCTGAAGTAACACATCACAATTTGGCCTAGGAGCAATATGTATATTAAATCAATTTTAAAACAAAATATTTCAACTAGCCAAAACATCGTGAACTATCACACAAGCATATGCATTTCTCAAATTACGGTCATTTAAGAAAAAAAGTCTGTTGGTCAGTAACCTCCATTAAATGGCGTCATGTAACTAACCCCTGCAATTGAAGAAACATGGAGTGACCACAGCAATCAGACTGTGATTAAAGCCCTCTTGTCAAGTATAAACTTGAACTATTGCTCTTACTAAGTAATTCAACTGACATTATGTTTACACACATTACAACAGATAAACTTATGCAAGAACAATTTAATCGAAGAACACTATTTGGTGCAATAAGGAGAATTTAATCAATGAATACTATTTGGTGCAAACAATGTGTTTATGAATTACATAAACAATTGGAAGGAGGAACTATTTTTATTTGGAAATAGTGTGAAAAGTCTAACTGCAGGAAAAAGTAAATTGCATTCTACAAAGTTGTCCATTTCCAGCCCCATGAGATGTATATTTTTTATTCTCCTTTTCCCCAAACTTGGGACATTCTTCCCTAAAGTTTGTTTTCCTTTGTAAGGCATTTGCAATACAATCTAAAAATCAAAAGGCAAGAAAAAGTTGATATTTCACACAGAAATATATTCATTTTAAATGGCTCTCCTCAGCCTATGTCCTATGTTGGTGATTTCCAAATCAAAAAAACTGACAGAAGGTTGTATGGAGACATAACCAATGGTTTGACTATGATTTTTGGAATTAAAAAGAAAAGGGGGGAGTTTTTTTAAAAGGCCTTTCAGAAATGTCATATGGAACTGAACTAATGTCCATCATGGTTTCTGAGTTGCTGTAACAACAGAAATCTTACAAAGCTTTTAATAATCAGAAAGAAGGCAACCAATGCATTTGGGATTAAGTCATTTCTGCTCTAGATATTATTTTGCCTTGTTCTGGAGAATGATCACCAGACTTTCTATTCATGACATTAGATACGTCATGATTGTCCCATCTTCACAGCTTTATGGAAATGCCATATTTCTAAATTATATGTCAGCGAACAGGATGGGGAACCAATTTTCGATCTTGAGATTACTGCTGATCTGCCAACTAATTGGCTGTGGTTAAAAACTTCTGACATTGCCTTACAGCTACTGTTTGAGATTCAGCAATAATTACGGCTGGATTTTCTGTCAGTAAGCAATGTGGCCATTAGGCAAAACATCACATGATCATATTGCTTAGTTTAGTGATGGCAATCCCAGTACTCTCTGTTGCCATTGTTAACTGAATGCCACTGGTCTTAGGTGAGGGTTCACCTGATCCAAGCCATTCCTAGCTTCGTTGCTCCCAACCTCGAGCCTTAATAACAGGCTGCTTCCACTTGACCCCCCCCCCCCCCACTTATCTCCCTTTCCCCCCATCTCTGCCCTTTTGGTAGCTCTGCACAGAGTCCCTCTTCAGTTGAAGCAGCAGCACTGGGGCTGTTCCCATCCCCAACTCTGGGTCTCAACTCCAACTCCAGTGCTGCTGCCACTGTTGCCAAGAAGTACCGCTAAAGGCCTGTCTCATGACCAACCACTCTAGCGCCACAGTGCAAAACCACCACCACCACCACCACCCCGCACATTGCAGGCACTGCTGGGCTTAGCTGCTTTCATCCTGCTGCTGACAAGGCCTGACCCTATGCAAGGCAGCTTCTTCCTGAGACTGCTCACGCCATTCTCTGAATAGCACGTTCCTTCTTGCAATGAACGATGGTGGTAACTCAAGGGTTATTTGTACTGTCCAATCTCTGAAGTGCTAATCAACCTTGCAATGAACAATGAATGTAAAATCCCCTCACCTTGGATTAGATTTATTAAGAAAAAAAATTGGAAAAAGCAACTATGCTTATATATGGAACTATTTAAAGGTAATTCAAATGTTGTTACATTCTGATTTTCCTCCTATGTATCTTTGGTGTACTGGGAAGAACCCTTTCTCTTTCAAGCAGACAAATCAGTCTGCCCTTGAGTTTATATGATAGCCACATTCCAAGTGGGAGTGGGAATTCTCCCATAAACTTTCTATCCTAGATCAAAAACCAATGTTTTTATCCCAGCCAAAGCAATGAAGAACAGGCTAGAATGGTGAGTGCCACTTGGGGCCCATTTATGTTCATAAATCATTTCCCTCAATTCCAGGAAATCGTGATGATTATTCTGATTAACTAAAAATAAATGTAGAAAAGAGTCACATTTCATTTATCCTTTAAGCACAATAGCAAAATGTAGGCACTTCTTTATGATCATTTTTTTGGACTTCATTAAAGTGCAAAATATTATAGAAGAACAAGCAATTTTTACCCAGTCTGCTCATGCATAGATCAGTTTTTATCAAATCTAGCTGAAAATGGTTGGGTTCCAAATATCACCTCATGTGCAACATTTTATTGGTTTCAAAATTTTTCTTCAATATCTTCATCAATGACTTGGACGAGGGGATAGATGGGGAACTCATCAAATTTGCAGATGACACCAAGCTGGCAGGAATAGCCAACACTCCAGAAGATAGGCTCAAGATACAGAAGGATCTTGACAGATTTGAACATTGGGCGCTATCTAACAAAATGAAATTCAATGATGAAAAAAGTAAGGTTCTAAATTTAGGCAAGAAAAACAAAATGCACAGATACAATATATGTGGTACCTTGCTCAATGGTAGTAACTGTGAGAGGGATCTTGGAGTCCTAGTGGACAACCATTTAAATATGAGTCAGCAGTGTGAAGTAGCTGCCAAAAAAGCCAACAAAGTTATAGGCAGAGAGAGATAAACAGAGAGATAGAATCAAGATCACGTGAAGTGTTAATATCACTTTATAATGCCTTGGTAAGGCCACACTTGGAATACTGCATTCAGTTTTGGTCTCCATGATGTAAAAAAGATGTTGAGACTCTAGAAAGAGTGCAGAGAAGAGCAACAAAGATGATTATGGGACTGGAGGCTAAAACATATGAAGAATGGTTGCAGAAACTGGGTGTATCTAGTTTAATGAAAAGAAGGACTGGGGAGACATGATAGCAGTGTTCCAATATCTCAGGGGCTGCCACAAAGAAGAGGGAGTCAAACGATTCTTCAAAGCACCTGAGGGTAGAACAAGAAGCAATGGGTGGAAATTAATCAAGGAGAGAAGCAACTTAGAAATAAGGAGAAATTTCCTGACAGAACAATTAATCAGTGAAACAACTTGCCTCCAAAAGTTGTGAATGCTCCAACACTGGAAGTTTTTAAGAAGAGATTGGATAACCATTTGTCTGAAGTGGTGTAGGGTTTCCTTCTTAAGCAGGGGGTTGGACTAGAAGACCTCCAAGGTCCCTTCCAACTCTGTTATTCTATTCTATTCTAAAATTGCTTTTGATTAAAATACTTTATAATAAATTACTGGATAGCACAAACTATAATTGATCACTATCTGCTCCCTTAGAAGTTACATGAAAACACCTGTTTGAAAATCAAATGTAAAGCTAAAGGTCATTTAATCTGAGAAATTCCAACACTTAATGGGATTGGGGAGAAATGTCTCTTGGTGCCACTGTTATTTCACTATATTATCAATCCTTTGTTTTTTCATTCAGAGAATCAAAATTATCTCTCCTTGACTTCTGAGTATTATTATGTGAAAGGATAATACTCTTGATTGTCCTCTGCATAAACTCTAATTGAGTTGAATAAAACCTTTCTTTTTCTGCCTACTTGAAGGAGCATTTGCTATGCAAATACATGCGGAGCATAAACAGCGGGAGGAGTATTAGCAAAATGAGCTTCACGCTGTATTCTCCTAATCCTGTAGAAGAACAGGAAAAGATACTACTTTCATTTAAAATGCTATTGATGAGTTTTAAAGAAATAATGTTCAGAATTAAAATACTTTGATTTGTGTCTCAAGGCTCTTGCATCTGAAAGTTTCCTAGGCTGTGAAAAAATGGACTAGAAAATTTAATAAATAAAAAACAAAATTGCATCTGTGGCCAGAAACTTAGGATATTTTGTCCTACTTGTTTCAATCCTAGTGCCTTACTTAGACAGAATTACATCCACTTCAATGTTAATATGAAGACTATAATGGGCTTGAACATCTAGGAGTTTAGGGTTGTTTGTTTGGTTATTTATTTATTTATTTATTGTGTTATGAAAGGAAGGCATCAAATCTGACATTCAGTTTTCCATCCCCTCATGCCGGTCAGGTTAAGACATACTCAGGGCACATTTTCTCTTGGGCATGGACTTCTGCATATATGCAGAAGAGAGATTTATCCTAGGTCTAAACCAACCTCGGCAACTTTAAGACTTGTGGACTTCAACTCCCAGAGTTCCTTAGCCAGCAAAGCTGGGAGTTGAAGTCCACAAGTCTTAAAGTTGCCGAGGTTGGAGACCCCTGGTCTAAACTATCTCTCTCCAGGAGATGGGGGCAGCTTTGTATTTTGAGGAAACTGCAGGAAGAACTTCAGGAGAAAAAAAAAGGAAGACAGTGTGTTCAGATAGAACTGATAGTACCAGAACTAGTATTACACAGATAGTACTAGAAGTATCAACTTTTTCATCCAGTTTTAAGAGAAATTTATACAGTATTTTTAACTGTATACAGATTAGTTTGTAACTATTCCTAACCAACGAATATTTACCTTCCATTTTGAAAGACAAATTGAAACTAAACTACTATTCAAAATCATATTTGGTCTAGTTGGGAGTGATCCAGGTGACTCACAGTTTATATTTTCTAGTGTTTGGATATGATATGATACTAAAATCATAATTCAACTGAGAATTCTGGATCTGAATATTCTCAAGCCGAAGAGTCATGCTGAAATCCTGCTGGGTGAATATTGTAGTGCAATTAAAAGGAAATGGAAGACCAGAACCTTGCCCAAAGTCAGAAATAAAGGGCTAAACTCATGTATCCTTAGAATTACTGCAAATCAAAGCAGTGGGAGAGCTTAGAATTTACAGACAAAAAGGTCAGTTGCTACATGAAAGAAGACAGGCAAACAAATAGACCTAAGCCTACGTTATTAGGCAAAATAAGAGAAACAAGAGATTATGATTTAGTAAGGGTAATGGTCAGAATTTTGGTTACTAGTACTGGAGATGCTGTTGCTAAAATTGTATTCCAAGGATAAAGTATGTCGATCTCTTGAATAAAAACTTTAATCAGTCTCGCTTAAAGTCACCCCTCTGGCCTCCTTGCTTGCTGAGGAGTTTTACCTCTTCGATGATTATGTCATGGCTCACTGCTTTGCACATATCATACACTGTCAAAGCAGCAAGACTGGCAGCCATCAAAGCTTCCATCTCCACCCCCGTTTTCCCACGGGTGCGGCACAGAGCCTGAATGGTAACGGTATGTTTTTCTGCATCTAGACTAAGAGTGACCTCAACCAGATTCAATGGGACATTATGGCACAGTGGAATGAGCTGGCTTGTTAGCTTGGCTCCCTGGATTCCAGCTATCTGGGCCACTGCCAGCACATCGCCTTTTTTAATTTGGTTCTGTTGCACCAAGTTGAATACCTTTGCACCCAGACGGACCACAGCACAAGCCACTGCAATCCTTTCTGAGTCTGGCTTCCCTCCAACATCTACCATTGATACCCGGCCTTCTCGATCAATGTGGGTTAAACAATCAGAGGCACCAAGACATTTGGCAGTTGAAAGAGATCTCCAGCCCTTCTCTGCTTGGCTTACCATCCTGGAACGAATGTCTCTAGTCACATGGGAAGCCTGTTTGGAGAGAGGAGTTGCTGTCCAAAGGCACTTGTCATTCAAGCTGGAGCTCAAAGTCTTCTGAAGAAAGCAATTGCTACTGAGCTGAGCTTGTGAAATCCTTGATGCAAGCTGTCGTGCTGAGTAAGATCCTGGCAAGGCATGGTGTCCTGTAAACATATTTGTTTTAAACTTTTTCCCCATCTGTTTGAATAAACTTTCTTTCAGAGTCAGGCAGTGGTCTTGTCTGAGGCCCCAATCTTTCAAATTTACTTGGTCCTGCAGGGCATCTTGGAGAAGTGGAAATGACCTTGATGTTGCCTCTGGGGGAAAAAGAAAAAAACAACAAAAGTCGATGCTAGAAGAGAAAAACTACTGTTGATTTTATGCAGTGTTCTACAAATTCCCATAAAGCACAGAGAGAAAAATAAACCTTCTAAAAATACCCTTCTGAATCAGGAATCTTTTCTTAAATTTTCCAGCATTCTTATCAGTTGCTAGAAAATAGCTGCCCACAATTCAAAGGACTATGTTAATTCTGGGCTTGGATAGGACTTGGCACTGATTCTTGAATAACAACTCTCCATCCTACATGGCAATCTGTATTTGAAAAAAAACTTGGGTACTTCAAATGCAATTTGTATACGCAGCATGGGAATAATCCAAGGAAAATGAAAGGCCAAATTGGCAATGGATGTGTTCAGTTTAGAAATCCAACGATAACTGCCAAAGGTGGCAGAAATCCAGTTCCAGAATTCCACCTATGCAGAAAGTCAAATCATATAAGCAATCAAAGACAGGACTTACACAGATATTGCTATATTTCTTGATGGAATTAGGGCTTCTAAAGCCATTCTAACAAGCTTACTGTTTATCTTCTGCTCTAATTGAAAAACAGTGAACAGGACTCACTCATACATAGTGGTGACATTTTATTTATTTATTTAAAATATTTGTATAGCTGCTGATCTTAAGCACACCTCTAGGTGACTCACAACAATAAAACTACTAACCATAAAATAGTAAACCACACACAGGCACAAATCCCACCAAAATTTGAGGGACAAGTGTTTTCTTATCTGTCCACGAAAAACCCAAATGGGATCTCTTGCTGACGGAGAATATAAGTCAGATACTATCCTGCAAAATCCCTTCCTCTATAATCTTGAACTGTCTTAACTTGTCCTTTAAAATGGAAGTAGGAAAATCTATCTGTCTGAGATGTATTAGATAATAAATTAGAAAGTAGTAGAGGGTGTGCATAATACTTCAATTTAAAACCTCCTGCTTCAAATTCAAGATAGATTATCCTGTCCATTATAGAAGTATTTTGAGTTGGAACAAGCCACTTTAAACTCAAAACAATGGAGTATTTCTAATTTGAAACATTTCTGTACCCCCCCCAAGCAACTTCAGAGTCATTAATGACCACAGAATCTCTCCCCAATTAAAAATCCCTTGCACAAAAAGCCTAGAATTTTAAAGAGATGGATTATAGAGATTCTAAAAGTATACCCAGATATTATCCAACAGGAAATGACAAATAAAGAATGGCTGAAAAGGGCAGATATGTTTAACTTAGAGAACAGAAAATTAAGGGAAACATGAGAACAGCTTTCAAATAGCTGAAATTACAGCAAACATATACTACCATACTGTTCCTGAGGGCAGTATTATGAATAATGGGAGTTTAAAAAGAAGATTTTAGCTAAATATTAAGACACTTACTAAATAGTAAAGAGTTAACTCAACAGTTGAACAGACTGCCTTCCATAAACAAAAGCTTAAAATAGTCATCTGTTCAGGGATGTTTTACTTACATTTATCCCCTTCACTGAGATCCACACAAACACACACCTCCATTCCTGACCCCCCTTTGGAAGTGTAAGAGGAGGTCATATCATCAAGCACAAAACCGTATTTCATTCAATTGAATCTGAAATAAGATTCAATTACAGGTGGTCCTCAACTTATGACCGCAATTGAGCTCAAAATTTCTGTTGCTAAGTGAAACATTTGTTAAGTGAGTTTTGCCCCATTTTATGACTTTTCTTGCCACAGTTGTTAAGTGAATCACTTCAGTTGATAAGTTAGTAACCTGGTTGTTAAGTGAATCTGGCTTCCCTATTGACTTCACTTGTCAGACAGTCGCAAAAGTTGATCACATGATCCTGGGACACAGCAAAGGTCATAAATGTGAATCATCTGCCAAGCCTCTAAAGTTTGATCATATGATCATGGGGATACTGCAGAAATGGTCATAAGTCACATTTTTCAGGGCCGTGGTAACTTTGAATGGTCACTAAATGGACTGTTGTAAGTTGAGGATTACCTGGACAGTAATGTTTACCCTGACACTGTAAACTTTTACAGTACACCTACTCCAGGATGTGGCCTCCTGGTTGTAAGGTACAGCCAAAATTTCCAGAGAACATAACTACTTTTCCATTCTCATAGCCTGAAGCTAAAAGCAGTTCTCTACAACTGCCAGCTCTGGCCATGTTAACAAGAGGCCCGTCACGCTTGGCCTGGTGCTGCCAAGAGCTTGTATTCCTTCCTCGATCTGTGTTATCTTTATTTGGGTCAATTTCAGTTCCAAACCTTCTGGGAGTCAGCTCCCACTCATTAATCCCTTGGCTATGGCCATGCCAGAGTCTGGTGCCAAGGACCAAGTTAAAAGGCGATTTTTAAAACATAATGGAAGGCATGCTTTTTAGATACAAGAAGAGGAAAAAGGAAAGTGAGATGGGAAGAAGTAGCCAAATCTCTCTTTAATGATGTGTATCTTTACAAAGTTTTGGTGCACCTCCCTCCTCCTCTCTCTTTTGGTTTGCAGTGAGATTTTTCCTGGAGTGGGGAGGGTAGCAATTCTATTTTATTTCCAATAGCTAAGAGACTAAGAAAGAAACAACCCTGCTCAAATCACCCATCTGCCGTATTTTTCAGAGGATTTCTTTAGGGTGTCAGGAATTGTTTATGATGCAGCAGAAGCCCTTTCTTCTCCAGAAAAATAAGCACATTCTGTCTACCTCTCATCCGTCCATGGCTCTCGTTTCTTTTTGTGGGGGGATGCAAGAGCCTTTCTTACAACTTTCTTACAACTTTCAATTGCCGGAACTAAGGCAGAGGAGACACATTAGCCTACACATTAGCTAAGACCATTGTCTGAAATTATTGCAGCCTATCAAGTATGCGCCATGCATGTCACTTTTTCTCCCTGCCCAGCTCAACAATGTGGTGCCCATCTGAGAACCTTATCTTCTTTGACAGATTAGAATTCAACAAGTCTACTTTTGCACCATTATTTTCACACTGTGAATGTAGCTGTTCCAGAGGTACCGGGCGACAAATCCCACACAAGCTTTGGAGACTTCTTCCTCTCACAGCCCTAACAACCAATTGAAAAGAACAAACCCTAAATTAATCTTGAAAGCTGACAATTTAAATTTCCACTTTGGTTCTTAACTAGGCAATCTTAATGCTAGAAGTGAGAGTGCCCCAGCAGACACAAATCATCCATGTATATGTTCAACTCTTCCGTGAAAAGTTCATGTAAGTGATATTAATGGGTGGAGAAGAAGAGCTATATAATAGGAAAAAGTTCTTATATTCCAATATTTCCTTAGAACTGAACTTATTTAGATGTGGCCGATCCTTATACAATAGAGAATGACCAATCTTTTTGACAGCCGTTGTACAAAATCACATTATTACTGTAAGTGGAAGGGAGGGCTGGCTCTGGGCCTTGATCTCTCTCTCTCTCTCTCTCTCTTATTTTCATGTTTTGATAATCTCATCTCCAAGTTTTCAAGTGAAAACATGAATCATCATGTGATTTGGAAAGCTTGTGAGATTTTAATCGTTTTATTTTAATTCAAAAAGTATTATTTCATTTTGAGCTTTTATAGATGCCAGGTTGTTGTGGATGTTATATATCCCTATTACTGTATATCAGAATATGTTTTTAATCGGCTCTACTGACCTCTAAGATCCTGTGTAGTTTTCAGCTGCATTCATAGAGGGGTAATTTGAAGAGCAACACAGAATTCCTGCATAGCATTTCTGGCTGCTGAAATCAATTTATGAAATGCTCCCTCTCTATCGGTTTCTTTTTGCACACTCGAGGTTCCCCACCTTTTCCATTAGAGACCACAGAGACATTTGATACCTGCCACAGACATTTTGTAACACATTACGTAAAAATCTGTCTACCTTTGCAGATCTGAGAGTAAGCTTTAGGTTACACAAAACTGGGCATTCTCCCAAAATGTTGGGACTCCATTTCCCCAAAGTCCTGGACAACACAGCCTTTGAGTGAAAATTGCAGTGTTGTAATCCCAACAGTACACCTTTGTTAAATGAGTCCCTATGCTTTGCTTTCCAATTATTATATAATTAGAGACAAAATTGTAGCAATGTGGTGGTGAAAGTTACTACTTTCATAGCATGGGTTGACTCAGCCTTCCACCCTTCTGAGGTCCGTAAAATGAGGACTCAGATTGTTGGGGGCAATACACTGACCCTGTAAACCACTTAAAGAGGGCTGTAAAGCACTGTAAAGCGGTACATAAGTCTAAGTGCTATTGTATAGTGTATGAGAAGCAGAGAAGATCCTCACCAAGATTGGCAGGAGAGACTGTTCCCATAAACAGACTACAATCTTATGACTGCATGAAAGCAAAGGAAGACAAATGGCAACTAGAGTAAGTCAACACAGAGTTTCAGATTATATTCATTGTTTTACAGAAGTTTTAACTTTCACTTTTTGCAATTCATCAAGCCTTCCATACTGCTAATGAGTCTATGTGAAGGAGCACATCAAAAGAAAACACTAATGCTACTTCTGAAGTATTCAAGAAAAATAAGAGAGGGAGAATAAGACAATTTATTCTTTCCATAGCATTCACTCCAATCCTCTCTTGGACTATGGACCTCCTATCCACTTCCTACTGATTCACACAAGAGCTAACTTCATGGAACTTTGTAATCCACTTCAAATTAAATTGGGAAGCTGCCCAAGTTGCTCTATATATTCCTGCAGTAGTCTGTAAATCATAACAAAGCTGGTTCTACCCTAGTCACAAAGACTATGCTATTTGCAAAGAGAAAGTCAGCGGTCGCTTTTCCCGAGGTACAGAATGCATGGCCTTACCAGACATAATTTAAGTCCCAGATACATAGCTGCGTGTAGGCAGCCAACTTCCCATTCCAAAACCAGCTGGAAGGAGCCTGTCTTTGCATCCAGCTTCCTTTGCTCTCCCCCACAAACGTCTTATTCAATTACAGGCAAACCTCCAAATGTATGGTTTACCACATGGTTCTCCCATGCTGTGGAAATGCTAGTAGTTAATTGTTCCCATTTCCCAAATTATCTATATCCCATCCTTCTAATTCTAGCAATATACCAGATCTTAAAGTGGGTTTAAGTACAGAGCCCCAAGGAACAGCTACATAATAAAATTCTCACTTACAGGCTGGAGAATGGAAGCTCAGAAACTTCCACACTGCTGCATTAGCAAGATGCCCAGCCAGCATTAGTTTGATCTGCACCAAAAGTGACGCCCCAGATAATTATTTTTAAAAAGAAAATATGCACATATTTCTATTTCTTATTTAGAATATGTTTAGTTTCTGTTTACAGGTTGTGAACCATCTTACAAAACTTAAGTACTTCTTACGTACTGATTGGTCACCCACCAATGAGGATCATTGGCCTGTTCTTCATTTGGGAAATGTTGAACATGCCTGAGAAGAAAATAATGAACATGCAAAAATTATTAATACTCCCAGATTTTATATCAATGAAAATAATGCAAAAAAAATAATAACAACAAATAAAAATGTTGGTGATGGTACGGATGTTGGCAATATTAAGTATTAAGCAATCGTCTCTTGAAGTGGTACTTATGAATGGGGAAACAGAGAAAGCAAAACCAGACTATGAAAACAATTCACATGAGAAATGAAAAACAGCAGTCTATAACATAATTTGAAGGACTTACCCCCAAAATAAAATACCAATTATGATCCTTAATCAAAGGACTCATATGCTGTAAAACAATGGCAGGAAATTTTTCAGTGGCTAGGGGCAAAACTTTATTTAGTTTTTTTTAGACAACCTAGGAACGCTGTAACATCATATCAAAGTTGGCAGGAGCAATGTATGTGATTCCTTTCCTCCCTTCTGTCCCATACACATGCCTAAAATGAACTCTGAACAAACACAGGGTAACATATTTGGATAACATGAGAAGACTGCAAGAAAGGGAAATTAACACTTCCTGATTCCTGTCAGCATAAAGTACAGCAGAACTATTGTAGTGTGCAAATTCTTTTTAATTTAAAATGTTTCAAGCACAAAACAGCTTTTCTGTTACTACCGATTGTCTCAGTTTTGATCTCAGTCTTTTGTGATCAAAATCATGCTATTTTGAGCCTGGAACTCTTTTTAGATGAAATGGAACAGTACTAGAATTCTGCCAGTAAGAGTAGAATAATCTGTTTTGAATTCAAGAACTGGAACGTTTTAGTCTTGATCAATTTTGATTTGGAAACATTTTATAAGTCCTTAAATCATAACATTTGATTTCACTTTAAGACTTTTGCACTGTATTGTGCTTACTCTTAATAGTCCAGCTTTGGCTACACATCTGGGAAAGAGAAATGGCATACCTGCATGTTGTTTCTTTTTTCTCCCAACAGCTGCCCCAATAATCTGGATCAACTCCTCTTCAGAGGCATTACATCGTAAGTGATCCCGTAAGGACACTTCTGAATTTCCAAAAAGGCAGACCTGAAACAAGAATAGAAAATGAACTGAGATATAGTTCCACTCTCCATCAGGTTGTATGGGTGTAGCAGGAAAGTTCATGAAATCCTCAAAACATTTTAGTTCCAGATTATTTTTCAAAAGAAAATGTTGGTTGTTCCAATAATAACTGGCAAAGGCTGTACAAAATGCCAGTTGGCAATATCCTTATCTTGAAGAGGCAAGCAGGCAACTCCTATTCCATCTGAACATGGAAAATGACCATAAAACAGTACTTCTCACTAAAGTCAAGAGACCAATTTTGGGTAAGTCTACCATTCCATTCCAGACTACCAAAAATAATAATAGGTGTCAGCTTTGCAAGATAGCCAAGAGAAGAAGCACATCCAGATGAACTATGTCTACTTTATTGAAAGGTTACATTAACAGAATTTTGCAAGTCTGAAAGTACATTTCTCCCCCATCACCTTTAGTGGCCAAAAAACTAGGGAGGGTCCCTTCTGAGATGTTTGGCCATACCCACATTTCCTTTTATGGGTCAAGCTGCTCTTATCTAACCATTCCCTGGCTATGTCTCTTCCCCCTGTCTCCCAAATTCATTCTCACACATCATTATAGTAAGAGAGCAGTCCCAACAACTGTGGGAATACAACAAGGATGTACCCTAATGTAGACTTGCTTAATCAATTTTACAAAGTTCTTCCAAGTATGAGGGCTTAGAAATCAGTACAGACTGGAAGCTAACATGCAACATTCCCAAGTTGGGCATTATCTCCTATGCAATGTTTGCTTTGGTGGTGATAGCATGTTCTACTGATCTGCAAACATTTTGAGGTCAAACTTTGAAACAGACCATTCCAACCTCCAACTGCCATCAGAAACTTTAGGGTCAGAATGGCATTCAGGAGTCAAAACATTTTGAATTTAAAATGTTTGACTTGCATTTAACATTCTATCAAAAGTACTGTTTTTCTCTGGGTTAAGGATTGCACTTAGCTTTTGATTGATATCCCAAGGGCTGCCCTCTAGGAAGGGAGTATGATCAGGACAATTAAGTGAATGGAGCCAGGACAAGAACTAGATTTATTTTAACATAAATTAAATGAATTTAATTACGAATTTAATATTTTCTGTTGAATTAAAAAGTTCTCTTTCCTTTGGAAGGATCCAGGCTTTGCAGCCTCTGGGACAGAGGTTGTATGTATATGGGCTACAGAATGATTTTTTTCTTTGAAAGATATAGAGGTTTATTACTACCACTAATAATAATAATAATAAACTTATCTCCTGGCTGTTAGATAAAGTCAGCACTATAAATAGTCGAGTACACTAAATTTAAATAACAGATGTTATAGATGGTTCTACCTGTAAAGACTTCTAGTTTTCGTAGTTTTATGGAGGGAAGATAAAAACTGTGTTAGTCTTGGTACTAGCAGTCTGCTATGTTTCTATAATTGTGTTCAGACTAAAAATAGAATATGTTATTATTCTCCAATATTTTATTTACCGCATGCACTTCATATCCCCTAAAGCTACTGAGGAAACATTTTATTTATTTATAAAATGTACAAGCTACCCATCTTACCTTAAGGTAAATCTGGGTAGCTTACAATTATAAAAGATAAAAAACTATATAACCTAAAAACATAAATACGTTAATTCAAAATCCAAACACTATGACCCAATTAAAAGATGGGGAAGGCGGGAACAGGATAGGGAGCGAAGTGGGATCTGTTGTTAATCAACTAATCACTTCCACTGTGATGCTCTCCAACTGGACCCCTAAGCTAAGTGGCAGAGCAGCCCCAATCTTTTGGGCACCAGGGACCGGTTTCATGGAGAGGTTTTTCCACGGACTGGAGGGACGTGCTGCTTGCATCCTGGGGATGGAGCTTCGCTTGTTGGCATGACCTGATTTCTGGCCCATTGCCAGTCCACAGATCAGGGGTTGGGGACCCCTGCTTTAGGCTCTTATGAAAGATGGGGGGGCTGTCCTCACCCCAAGGGGCAAGATATTCCACAGGGCAGGTGCAATGGCAGAGAAAGCCCTTCTCCTAGATCTCGCCAGCCAGAATAATTGAGCTGACAGGGCCTACAACATGCCTTCTCAGCTGCCACGGTGGACCAGGCCAATCCCAATGGGATGAGTTGATCCCTCAAGTAGCCTGGACTCTTGCCATGAAGGGCTTTAAAGGTGATTACCAACATCTTGAATTGCATCTGGTAGCAGACTAGCAGCCAATGTAACTCGCGGAGCAGTGGTGTTACATGGGCCATTCTTGGCCCTAAGAACTGCAACTATATAAGCATATCCTTTTGTTTTTCTTGGCAATAAAACAGAAATGGTTTATTTCTGGGTTTTTTCCCCTAAATTTTTGTAAACATCTCAGTCTAGCTTACAGCACCAAGGTTTCCTGGTGGCCTCCTGTCCAAATTCTATATCCAATGTTGCCTTAGTTGTTTTGAGATCAGCAAAGATCAACTAAGTGTTGCCACCTACTGGTGCTTTAATTCAAACTTCTAGCATGACACAAAGTACTGGCTTGAATATTTCATTAAGATCAAGCTCTGTAAGTTATTTAAGCTAATGAACTTGCTCTGACTTAGTGTCAACAGATATTAATGCAATGCTTGCTGTCACCAATTGTGGGAGTTGGAACTTTTAAGCACCAAGACTGAACTAATTACAAATAACAACTTTCAACGTGACAGGAAAATTGTTCATCCTCTCCTTGCTCTCTCCTCCCATCTTACTACTTGGTCTGTACCCCACATGTCTGGTTTAATAGTGCTTGCCAATTACCACTTACAAGACAATTTCAAATAAAAGATTAAAGTATATTTACTTTCCATTAGTTTTCATATTTGAATACAGTATATTAGAAAAGAAAGAAAAATAAAATTTCAGGAAACAGCAAAAATATGTTTGCTTCAAGTAATAACTAAACAGGAATTGTCATGTAATTTACTACTTCTGTTTAGAGAGTATTTATTCAAGAGTGTTTAAACCTGTTCTGAATGCAATGCCCATTTTTTATGAACTCCATCCCTGTAAAATAAATAATCATATTTATCATTATCATAATAATTAATTAATCATTCACCAAGTTGTACCCCCTTGCTTAATATGGGAGTCCAAATTAAAGCATTCCAGAGAGATAGGTGGTAGCCTTTGCTTGAAACCATCCAGTGAAGACTCCCATTTCCCTGGATACTTGGTTCCTTGATAAAACAGAGAAAGCAATAGAGTTACCTTCAAATTCCCATCAGCTGTGATCCTCAGTCGATTGCAGGATCCACAGAAATGCTCAGACATGGAAGTGATGAAGCTAACTTGCCCTTGAAAATGTGGAACCTTATATGCCTGTTAAAAACCAAACATGGGAGCAAAATGAAAAAAAGGCAATGAAGTTAATCACATCAGTTGTACTTCATTCCTAAAAAATTCTTCTAGTTTGTGAAAGGAGAAGCTAGGGATGCGCAAAATGTTTTGAATTCAAACTTTGTCAAATTCAAAACAGCTGTCTCCCATGTGAAATGTAGTTTATTAAATGCATTAATTAAATTTATAGGCTGTCTGACTCCATCATGACTCTGGGAAATATATAGTATACATATAGAAAACAATAAACTGCAAACAATATAAAAAGCTGATGTCCAGAAAAATAACCCCAATTTTGACAAACTAATTATCACTATAAGATCCTTGGGAAAGAGTCAAATTTTAAAGGTTCATCTGAAAAAGGTCAGAGTGGGACTAAACAAATTTCCTGGGGGATATAATTCTAGAAGGTGGGTGCTATGATAAAGAAGGCCCATTTCCGAGTCCCCTCAGATAAAATAATTTAGTCAGTAGGCCCCAGAACATACCAAATATGCTGGAATGTTTAGGATAAGCAGATTGGATCCAACTACACACAAAAAAGAAAGATAATTACTAGAACACTGTATCTACCACCCCAAATCCCTATAGATGGCCCTGAAGAATATCATGGTTGACAGTACTTTCGAAAATGCTAAATCAAAGAGAACCATGATAGCTGCACTATTCCTGCCCCAGCTCTGCCAGAAATTAGACAGAAGTGTGAACCATGCCATCTCAGTATTATGTCCCGGTATAAAACCAAGCATAAAAAGTTCTAGATAATCTGTATTTTCCAGATTATCCATTTCCATCTTGCTCTCTGAAGCTACAGCATGATCACTTTTACAACAATCTTCCCCAAGAAGTGAAAATTGGCGAGTGGATGAAAATTGTCCAAGACTGTCCACTTCAGCAAAGGCTTCTTGAGGAGGGAGTGAAGCATCTCTTCATTCAAGGCAAGTTGTACCACCCCTTCTTTCAGCAAAACAAATATTATTGCACAGACCCAACCCAAGTGGTTTTAACCACCCAAGGAGTGACCCCCCAATTGGTTTAGTGGATTTGAGGATCCTCAACAGTTACTGGTTGAAAAGCATTCCAGGTAACTCTACAAGACCTTGCCTTTGTCAACGCTATAGGATCTGGACAGCTGGAGGACAATCCCAAGCAAGTCTGCATCTTATCTACCAGATGAAGCTCTCCAGATTACCCTGTAACTTCATCTCTACCTAGCTAGGAACAAATCGCCTTTAAAAAAAAAAATCTGAACATCTATCTGCAGCTGAGATAAAATGCCAACTTTATCACCATGTTGCAATCTCTAACATGTGTTTTTACTCATGTTCAGTTGGATTCATTCTTTGTCTTCTTTCCAATTGCACTTTTAGTACCTCTTCTGACATTTCATCTTCTCAGAGAACCAAAGAGTTCCCTAGGACTGACTCTCAGTAAGAAGCCACACAGAAACAATCCAATCCAACTCCTTTAACAGATATCCATTTCAGGAAGTAACCATTCAGGTGGCTCCATCAAGCCACCCATCAGATTCTCAGGAAAGACTTCAATCTCACACAGAAACCCTATAGGGTGGACTAATCTAATAACTGTATTCACCTGTGGCATCCAAGGGTAACCCCAGTATACCTAAACTCAATCAGAGATTAATGGAATGAGCTAATTCTGAGTTTTATAGAAATATTTTAGGCTCAACCCATTTTACACTCAAAATAGCTGTTTCACCCTTGAAAACAGAGTGTTTCAAATTAAGTACAGTTCAAATTCAACTAATTTTACACACTCCTAATAGCTATGAATTAGATAGGATATGGGGAAAGTTTAGGACACTGACAAGAAATTCTGTAAATGCTACCATGAATGAAATGTTACCATGAGGTTAAAAGTCACCAGTAAAAATATTCAGGTATCAATACTATGTTGGAAATCAATTATTGAATTTGGGATTATATTATTCCTTCAATATGTAGAGATATATATTTCTTTATGATAAAGAGCAGACACTAGCATTGTAAGGATTCTTATCTTCTTACCAACAATTTCCTGCTAAATTTATTTCTACAAAGGTCTTACATGCTAGATGGAAAAATCCATGACAACATTTTAATGATATGTGTTTAGATGAAGGGCTATTTTAAAATTCTTACGTGCTGCATACTTCTCTGTTAAAAACATTATGCAAATCATTTACAAATCACATGTATTATGGAACACATTTATATTATAAACACAACAGCAGTTGTCATGGATATAACTGCAAAATGACCAAAATTCCCAGACACAATACCTCATGCATAGTCTACATAAAAAGCAAGCCCAGAATAGTTTATGTATAGTAGATAATACCAGAAATTTATCACACGACAATTATGAAGGTAATGGTACATAAATCTACCCTATAAACTGAGGCAATACTTAAATAACTACAATTTACAAAGCATTATTTATAGTCAGAATGTTTGGTTTCTCCCCCCCCCCTCTCTCACACACACACACCTCATTTCATCTCAGAACTACTGCAACACACTCTACATGGGGCTACTCTTGAAGAGTATTTGGAAGTTGCAGCTGTCAAGGAATGCAGCCACACAGAAAATTCTCAAAGCCTTAGGGTGGCCCATGTAACACTGATGTTAGGCAAGCTGCACTGGTTGCTATCCTAGGGTCCTGAAAACCCCATTGGTCAAGTGTATGTGCATGCTACGGACCCCATTAGTCAATAAGAGGAGCCTTTTCTGCCATTTCTCCTGAGACCCCAATATGGCATATCATACTGGAGGTGGTTAATGGATTGATACTACCGCCAGCCTATTTTAACTTGTTCCCTTCCTTAGCTATCTTTTTTAATATTAATACTTATTATCTTACTATTTTAATGATTTATATTGTTGTTTTTACATTATAGTAAGTCCCCTAAACTCATTTTAGGTGAGATGGATGGCATATAAGTTTAAAAAATAAATAATAAATAGGCACAGTATTGAGTCAATACCATGAATAGCATAATTGTCAATAGTACACAGGAAAACTCTATCAGGACTATAGAATCCGCATCACCTCTCTCCCTTCTTGATAACTAGCACTGAAATAGCGGACAAAGAAACTCTCTCGGATTACTGATTCCTTGATCACGCTAATATTCACCTTGGCAGTGCTAGAAGCTTCTTCACAGGGCAACTTTTTCAAGTCTGGCCATTTCTGTTTAATTGTATCCAGCATTTCTTTGTAGCTCACCATTTTCTTGAAGTTCCACTTGTTGCCTAGAGTAAGAAGGAAACAAACGTTATTGATCAAATAAGGCTGGTATTGACTATGGGAGAGATTTAAGTTTATAATACAAAAGACATGTTTTTAACTACAGCATGTTGTCATCTGGGGCAACAGATTTCTATGTGACTAGACAATAGTTAAGATGCAATGGTAGGCAGTTAAAGAACAGTGGTTGGAGTGGAAGGAGCAGAAGTCTGTGAAAATCCCATTCCAGTGCAATTCCTTAGGTTTTTAAGGAATTTGTGTAGCAAGTAAATAACAGCATTATTAGTAAAACTTACAATATAAATGTAGGACTATGTGGAATACATTAGTTGTGCTTTGCTGCCATGAAACTATACGATCAGAGACATACAATATCAATAATAATAAAATACCAGCAATGCCAATACTTTGGCATCGTCCCTTTCCAAAGAAATTCCCCTATAGGCCAGAGGATGAAGATACCTCTAAGTTGATATTCCATTCATCATTTTTTGCAGGAATGGGAATCTGCCCACTCCATTTACTCAGTCTTTGAAGCCAAGTGTAATCTCAAGAGCTCACCATCAAAAGGCATGTATTCTATAAAGCGCACGTCCAGGGGCTGCTTTTCTGTAAAAGAAACAAAATCCAGCAGCTCATCTTCGTTGAGTCCTCTCATAATTACACAGTTCACCTAAAAGAAAAAGTGAGTGAATGAGTACAAGAAATGACCGAAGGCCATTGTGCACAAAAGCACAATAAGCCCATGTAGCAATAGCACTTAGACTTATATACCGCTTCACAATGCTTTACAGGCCTCTCTAAGCAGTTTACAGAGTCAGCATATTGTCCCCAACAACCTGGGTCCTCATTTTACCAACTTCGGAAGGATGGAAGGCTGAGTCAACCTTGAGCTGGTGAGATTTGAACTGCCAAATTTCTGGGCAGCCGGCAGTCAGCAGTAGCCTGCAGTACTGCATTCTAACCACTGCATCACCACAGCTCAGTAGATAGTAGATAATGTGCTCTATTTCCCCCCCCCATTTATTTATATATTTTTCCTTTACATACAATAAGTGCTTAGCGAACAGCGTACTGCCTGATTCAGTTGCTTACATAGTAACACTTTAAAATCTTAATTTTTACCTCTGTTATCCAACCATTGACAGGGCCGGATTTAGATGAAAAGAGGCCCTAGGCTATTCCACTTATGAGGCCCTTTCACCAGTGGTGGGATTCAATTTTTTTAACAACAGGTTCTGTGGGCGTGGCTTAGTTGGGGGTGTGGCTTGGCAATCATGTGACTGGGTGGGCGTTGCTAGCTGGTCACGTGACTGTGTAGGCGTGGACAGCTCGTCATGTGACCGGGTGGGCGTGGCTATGTGCATAGGGACTACTCAGAGGGCTGAAAAAAGTCATTTCTGACTGGGCCTCGCACTTTTGACCAGTCCTCATACTTATGACCATCCTCACATTTATGCCCATGCAGCTTTCTTAACAACCATGTCACTCATTTCACAACTGCTTCTCTTCACCATGGTGACAAGATAGGGCAAAAACGTAAAATGTGAGGACAGTCGTAAGTTCGAGGACTGGTCAAAAGTGCGAGGACCAGTAAAAAAATAACTTTTTCAGCCCTCTGAGTAGTCCATATGCATAAAAGGATACAGCAATAGAGAGGGATGAAGGAAGGGAAGGAAAATTAGAGTAGGAGGGAGGGTAAGAGAGGGAGGAAGAGAGGAGGAGAAGGAGAAAGGAAGAGGAAGTAGGGAGGAGAAGAAGAGGGGGAGGAAGAGAAAGTAAGAAGGAAAGAAAAGAGAGAGGTGGTAGGTTTGAGGAGAAAGATTGCTGTACAATAAAAAAGATGAAAGGGAAGAAAGCCCACCCCAAACAAATATAAAGATATTAAGATAAAGAATGAATTGTTAAACTTTAAAGAATAAAAAAGAACAAATATGAATAAATAATAATTAGAAACACACATACAAACATACAATGTATTTTCTTTGAACAGAATATTTGGCCGGTTCATAAATTTAAACAGTGCTTAGTCATTTCAATTAAATTTACAATTTCTTTATTTCCTTTTTGCCATATTTATTCCTCATCTATTTTTGTAAAAAACCAATATTACCCTTCATCCTCATTTCTAATCTTAATCAAATTCAATTTTTCCCTTCTATTCTATATTATACCTCTTCCCATTGTCATCTATTTTTATATCCATCCTCACATTCGTTAATTATGTAATATTACAGTTGTTTAATATAAATTCAACATTTTAATATAAATCAATGTTATATAAGTACCTTTTTTGTATATTAATCAATATGAACATGAATATTCCAATTATTTCTATTTAATCCAATTTCTTACAAATCCATTAATTATATTTACCAATAATAATAAACCAAATAATTTCCCCCATATATTCCTCCAAACCACAACTTAACCATTTCTGCTTTCAGAAATATACAATTAATAGTATCTCAATTATTACAATTCCCTAGTTAAATGGAGCTTTTTTTCTTTTGTGTTTTAAAATCTCCTCTTTTTCCCTAAATTTCCCATTGTTGGCACCTACCTTTTTTGGTGAGGAAAAAGAAAAGAATTCTGCCTGCCTAATTTTCCAACCTTGCAGCAACAGCAAAGCAGTTTCACTTTCGTTTCTTTGCAAGGAAGCAGAAGAGCCCTGAGCAAATCAGCTGAGAGCCGGGAGGCCAATTAGCCTCTGCTGAAGCTTAGGGGGCCAATAAAATTACAAAAAAACAACAACACCGAACCCTTTGTTAAATTGCTGGCTCCCCCGCCCCTCGCCCACCACTATTGATTGGCAATAAATAGTGGTGCGGAGGGGCGGGGCGAGCCAGCAATTTAACAAAGGCTTCGGCCTAACCCCCAGAATCCCACCACTGTGTAGGCCCCTCTGGATCTTGAGGCCCTAGGCTGAAGCCTAGTTAGCCTATAGGAAAATCCGGCCCTGACCATTGATAAAACAAATCCTGTGTTCTCTATTATTGAACAGACAATTATCCCTCTCTTTCCTTTATGGGATTTTTAAAAATTATGGGATAACTAAAGAAAAATGTGTATTGGGGAATTGCTTCCGAAACAAATTATTGGGATTAAGGCATTACACCACCCTTCCTAATCTGAGGATCTCCAAATGCCTTGGGCAACAGGTCATTTCCCATAACTCCTAATCAGCAGAACCTTTAGGCTTCTAGTCTTCACCATTTTTAGTCTGGAATGGTGAAATAAGAAACAAATAAGCATTTTGTGTTTATTTAAATAATAAATAATTGAAAGCAACATATGAGATGTGACGTAAGTATGCCAAAACTAAATTTGCACAATGGTAGCAAAATGGTTAGAATGCACTACTGCAGACAAACTCTGCCCACAGCCTGAAGATTGTACTTTTGTGTAATAGAATGAATACCATGTACAGTAGTTCTAGATTACTAGTAAGGAATATTCTCACCTTAACAGGATTATAGCCAAGATCAAGAGCTTTGTGAATTCCTTCCATTACCTTGTGGAATCCTAAAACCAGAATGCAATTATATAGAAAAAGTTGAGCAAAATGTCTTATAAATACACATAAACTGAATCCAATACTAATACATAAAATTTACAATAAATTTACACATTTATTCTTGCGTTCTGTTAAATATTAATTCATGACTCTGTCAAACACATTTGAGTAAAAGCTTTTCTTGCTATATAAAACAGATGAAATACAATAACACATTGTGTTTTAGTAACAATTCTAAATACTTTTCTGTAGGAGTAGTCACAATGGGCTTTAGATACGCATAACATTATGCCGAGTGTGTTTTCAAATGTAGAGAGGAACCCAAATCAAGACTTTTCACAAATTTTCACCATCCCTCCAATCATGTTGATGTAAGAGATGTTTATTCAAGAGGAATATAAAGTACTTTATGTAAGCCCCAAATATTTGGAAAAGAAAAATACATTGTTATTCCATGAAAGAAGAGGAGTGGGATGGGCAGTCATGAGGATTAAATAACATGGACTACCATAATTGTTTGATGTCAAAACGTGTTTGTTATTTCTCTTTCCTGCTACTCCGAAAACCTCTGACTTCAGTTGCAAAGGTTTACTCTAATAAAATAAGCTTGCAGACTAAACATGACATCGGGGAGCATAACATACAGTGAGAACACTAGAGTTACTGTATTCAGGAATCTGTCCTGCTTGCAGAAACGCTTGGAAGGAAATCAAAAAGAAGAAACTTCCATGCAACTTTAGGAATATCGGGCAATCAAGGAAACATTAGCCAAAAAGAAGCATCAATATTTTTTTTAGGATAAATGCACCAGGCAAATATAAAGGACTGAGTAGCTATAAAAATTGCCAAGATCGGACACCAAGGTGGATAAAAATCGATGATTTTTTTAAATCAAAAAAATTGAATTTTAAAAAAATTTAAATTGGATTTTTAAAAATTTAAATCAGTTTTTTAAAATTTTTGTTAAATTTATTTTTATTAAATGCTTTTGGAGTAAAAATCTATCTAAAGATAGTTTTCTATTTAAGATACATTAATAATTTAGTTTATTCAGCATGAAATGGAGCTTAGTCATGTAGCATCAGGCTGTATATTCTGCAATATTGGGACTGTCGGTGAGTCAACAGCGGGTCAGAGGAGGAGCTGCTGTGGGACAGAGATGACAGATGCTCTTTAAAAATTATTATTTAAATCGAGTTGATTTATATCAAGCCTTTTTACTGGTGATTTAAATCGTGATTTGATTTAAATCAAACCCACCCTGTCGGACACCAATGTAATGTTTCTATAGTGGCAATACAAAGGCAATATCAAACTTGCCTACTTTAGGTTTTCCTGCTCCAAGCAGTATCTGTCCATCTAATCGCCTACCCTGAGAAAGAGTCACCTTCAGAAGGCTTGAACCCAGGCCCTCTCTGGTCCTCCCTTGTCCTATGGAACAGAATTCCCCTCGAAGGTAGAATGGCTGCAAACTTTTTGGAATTCAGAAATGGTATCAAGAAAGCCTGTAGGGATTCAAACGGAAATGACATCCTGCACATGGCGACCATTTCAGTCATGAATTAGGATGTTGATCATTAATACTGTTGCATGTTGTGTTAAGCTTTGTTACAAAACGGAAGTATTTGCTGATTATGACTGAACTGGCCCAGAAGCCTTAGCAATAAATAAGGTTGTTTTGTGCCCTTGAGTCTAGGGTGGCATATAAATTTGAGAAATAAATAAATATGCAAGGGATGCATGTATTTTAAAGTTATGCTGTTCTGGAAGTAACCACTAATGAATTTTTTTTTTGCTTTCATTAATTTATTTAATTCTATTTTTAAGACCATGATCATCATTTTGTTGGTGAGCGCTGGGCCTGCTAGAACATTAATAGTTTGGAGTCAACGTGCTTAATATGTTCTCATTTTACAGGAGCGGATCTAATTCCTTGACTAGCAACAATGAACAGTCTGAAACATTAGTTATACTTCCCCAGGTATGAACTGACTGCACTGTGGTGGAGATGTAGATGAATCCTGCTGGATTCATTCAAAGTTTATCTCCCTGCAATAAAGTTTTCTAAAATTTGATATATGATCAAAAATATTTAAATATGCAAGCACACAAGGATAAGGTTCCTCGGTGTATTCAGAGATTCCCCTATGTAGCACAATCCATATTTAGAAACAATTAAATGTAAAGCAGAGGGAAATGTGCAAAAACATCTTGAGCTGATTAAAGTCACTTTTATTGGCTGTTTTTCCTTATTATGCCTCCATTCGTTTTAACTGACACTGTATCACCATCTAGTGGCTCCATACGAGCATTTCCCGTACAAGGAACAGATTGCAGCCATCCCAAACAAATTAACATGGTTTCAAATGTGTGCTTTCAATTCTGGATTCCGCATAAGTGATTCTGTTAAGCAATATTTATCTTGTCTCTGTGCTGTCTGCTATCATCACCCCTAAGATTGTTAGTAAAAAACAGAGGATGCTTTTGCAAAGAGAAACATGCAACATTTGAAAACATTTGAAACTTGTACTTGGGAATGGAATGTAACTCTCAGTTAATTATCTTCCACATACCCTGTACGCACTATGCATATTAATTCACAACTAATTATTCCAGACCCATCTCCATTCCCACACTTTGGCAGCACCATTTGTACTCTTACAAAAGTGGGAGGAAAGCATTTTATATAAGCGTAACTGAATCTGATTACTGTTCAATGAGACAGATGGATTGCCACTGTTAATAGGGTCAGCATGCTTTCTCTCATAGAAGGAGGGGGAGAAGGAGCCTTCCCTGCCACTACATGCTGTGATAACATTGCTCTCCGCAGCTCTGGGTTCTTTCTCATTGGGCACAATTTCTAAAGTGAAGTAACTAGTGACCTGTCTCGCTGTTTAAATTTCTTCAAGCCTCTGAACTGTGATTTGATGGGAAACAACTTGGAGATTGAAAGAAATTTTGCATGGCCGGACTGGAAAATAATCCAAATACAATACGCTACGCTATGCTACTATACGATACAACTCCAGTATAAATAAAACAAACAAACAAACCAGCAGGCAATATCAAAAGGTTCCTTAATGGTGCTGAGAAAATGCTATGGATGAAAACACCAGGAATTGAAGGAATTTACATCTTTTTTCTTTTACTTTTATCAGTTCTACATTCAAACATAAATTTAAAGGCATGGAGGGGGAGAAGGAACTGTATAATTTTGCAGAATGATACATGCTGGGATATAAGAAATCAAGAACGTATAAATGAGAAAACCATTTTTCTTTTTTAAGAGTAGCAATTATTTTTACCCTTTTTCTTATTTATTTAGATATCTTATTTAGATACATAAGAAATCTCTGTTCATGATCTCATGGCACGTTGAAGCTGTTGAAATCTCTAATCTCCCAAGGCAATTTGTGTCTCAAGACACATTAAGTCATTTACATAAAGGGCTGCATTTTATATATCAATTTCTCTGTAGCTTTTAATGGAAACGTTTACAAATTATGAAGTCACCCCACCTTGTAAATCACAACAACCACTAACAATTCAGTTTAATATTTGAATGCCTTATGTATGGAATATCTTTATTTCACTAGGTGCAGGGGTGAAATGCTCCTGGTTCGGACCAGATCACCTGATCCGGTAGCGATGGAGGTGGGTGGTTTGGAGAAGAGGTAGCAAAAATCCCTGCCCCCCCGCCCCTCCCCCTCCAAATGCCCAGCTGAGCCGCTCAATCATCAGAGGCTATTTTTTAATTTTTAAAAGCATTTTTCTACAACCTCTTCGGCTGAAAAAATGTTTTTAAAAGTAAAAAAAAAAAGCCTCTGATGATCGCGCGGCTCAGCTGGGATCGTCAGAGGCTTTTAAAAGCATTTTTTCTATAACCTCTTCGGCTGAAGAGGTTGTAGAAAAAATGCTTTTAAAAGTAAAAAAAAAAAAAGTTGGCCACACCCACCCAGTCACATTACACCCCATTACACCCCCCCCCCATTATAATGGAAAGTGAAATTTTCTCTATCAGCATAGCACTGTAGTGGTACATCTGTGTTCCTTGGGGTATGTATAGAAGCATATATGTTAATGCAGTTCAGTATTTATAATTATTATTTTAATGAATGCTAAACCAACAGCTAGGACTACATTTGCTGATACTTCTTCTGATGCTTCTTTTGGGAAAAAAATCCTAACAATAACTTTCTGAAATTTGGATTAGTGTGCAAAATATGTTACTGTGAGTTTAACCAAGAAGGTTAAGGTTAATATGGAACATCCTCTTCATGTAAGTTACAATTTTCTGCAGTTATTGCTATAGAGAACAAATAATAAGCAAAAATAAATACAAGGGTACTTGTCTTGAAAATAAAATTCTGATTTCAGGAATTATGCAAAAGTAAACTTAACTCTTTCTTCCTATTAAAATGTTTTACATTTTGAGTGTATATCCAATGAAATTGTTTTATTTTAAAATGTTTTAAGGTTCTATTGCTGTTTTATGTTTTTATATAGATTGAAATGTACATATTAAAAGTAAGTGGCAGTCTTACATTTTTGTCCAAAATAATCCCCAGAGAAATTTTTCATGAAGGATATTGTACAAATTCATTTATTTTTTTAGGCAGTCATGAAATCATGGCATTTGAGAAGGCGTGTTCTATATACAGTGCTGCTCAGAAAAAAATGTGTATATTCCACAAGTAGCTGAAAATGGGAAAAGATGTACCGTATTTTCCGGCGTATAAGACGACTGGGCGTATAAGACGACCCCCAACTTTTCCTGTTAAAATATAGGGTTTGGGCTATACTCGCCGTATAAGACTACCCCTCTTCCAACGCACACCAAATAAAAATTAAAAAACAACAACTGGCTCACCCACAATGTAAAAGCAGCTGTGCTAGACCCAAAATGGCCCCTGCAACAAGCAGGAACCTCACACAGCCACAAAAAGCTCAAAAAAAAAACAACTTTCACACTTTACACACACAAAATTCCACATACAGCTTTGTGAGATTTTGTGTGTTTGTGTAGTTAGAGTGAAACACTACAGAAACACACTAAATCTCAGAAAGCTGCACAAACATTATTTTATTTTATTTTATTTTTATTTTTATATGAAAACTAAATTTAAAACTTCCTAAACTTTAAATGGCTAGGTCTAAAAAAGAACAACTGAAAAAAACCCCAATTAACTATTTTTTTTAAAGTTCCCAAAGGGGGAAAAAACTTACCCAATAGAACAGGGGTCTCCAACCTTGGCAACTTTAAGACTTGTAGACTTCAACTCCCAGAATTCCTCAGCCAGCTTTGCTTTGCTGGCTGAGGAATTCTGGGAGTTGAAGTCCACAACTCCCTGCCTGCTTGATTGCAGGCAGGGAGTGGCTTGCTGATGGAATGGATTCAGGCAAGCGAAGCAAGGCAAGCATTGCGACTAGCAGCTAAGGTAAGCAAGCTGGAGGGGAAAATTTTTTTTCCTTTTACATGGCTCTGGCGATCCCGGCTGCGTTGCCTGATTAGCAGGCAACGCAGCTGGGATCGCAGAGCTTGGATCGCCAGAGCCATTTAAGGCTCGTCAGAGCCTTTCGGGCTGGTCTGCCTGGTTACAGGAGAACGACACCCGATGTTTAAGACGACCCCCGACTTTTGAGAAGATTTTCATGTGTTAAAAAGTCGTCTTATACGCCGGAAAATACGGGTAGTTGTTTTAAAGAGTTGCAGATAGGCTCTGTGGTCATGCTCTTGTATACTTTTTCTTGAAATCCCTTTTCTGAATCAAATCAAATGTATTACATAGATTATTTAAAAATAGTTACATACCAATATATTAAATTACAGATGATGCCATACAGTAAAGAGTAATACCATTCTTAAGCAATGTATATTCAGCTCAACATGCTGAGCAGTAACTTAAAAAAAAAAACTTGAAATTTGAGATCAAATGATCAGCTAGGTATTGAGAATACATGCTCTCTGATTAGTTCTGAGCTCTTTACTCCCTATCATATGGTAAATTCCATACAGGGCACAGTAATAAAAATATTAAACATGTTATTGTAGAAGATTTCAAAATACCTTTTCGTCGGACAATGAATTCGAATTTAGCTGGTACCAAGGTGTCCAAGCTGATATTAATGGCATCCAGGCCAGCCTCTTTTAGCCGGGGTAACAGTCTGGCTAAATTGATCCCATTAGTTGTGACAGAGATGGTTTTCAACCCTTCTAATTTGCGTAGCTGAGCTGAGAAAATACAGTGGTGACGAAAGATTAGCAACTGTAGTGAACTGAAGATCAGGTAAATAATATAAGGAAGAGAAAAAAAATAACATGACACTTACATACTGTGATTAAGTATAATAGCATAGGATTTGGAGCATCACATTTGGAGCTTCCTATATGTGTTTATGGAAATCTGTATCTATTTTTCTAAATTTGGCGATCTGCAAATTTTTAGTTAAGAAACTCCTTGGTTTGCATCATCACCCTTAATCAAGATAAAGATATCGATATACTGTATATATTCACATGTAAGTCCATCTGTGGATAAGCCAACTCTCTCTCTCTTTTTTTTAACAAAATACCATGAAAAATGTGGCACCTGGACCTACCAGGCCTAGACCAAGAACAACATAGAACAATCCAGCCACAGTTGAAATATTTGTTTACACCATATAGACAGAATATTGCCTGATTACAGCTATACTTGTCTACTGAAGTAGAAAGTTACAGAAATACTATGGGAAATTCCAGGGAATGGCTATCTTAAATCTCTTCTTTCTTCTATCCAGCTCTTGGCTGTGTTATCTCTTGTCTTTGGAATGTGCTTCCTGTCAGGTTTCCGACATGAGTCTCAAGCCAAGCTTCAAAAGAAATCCAGTTATTTATTAGGAGCTTCATGTCGGCACGTTCCCAAGTGAAGTTAGTTTCCTTTCCACCTTTTCACTGTAGTCTATTACATGACTTGCATTCTTAACGGTATTTGGTTAAAAATGAGTGGATCCGTTTATCTTGGAACTCTTTATGGTATATAATAGCTGTAATGGTGCAGTGGTTAAAATGCAGTATTGCAGGCCAACAGTGCCCACAGTCAGGAGTTCGATCCTAACCAGCACAAGGTTGAATCAACCTTCCATCCTTCCAAGGTAAAATGAGGGTCCAAATTATTGGGGGCAACATTCTGACTTTGTAAACAGTTTAGAGAGTTCAAAAAGTATTGTGGAGCGGTATATAAGTCTAGGATGGATGGATAAGCCCATCTACAGATAATTGGAACCTGATTTTTAGGTGCATTTTGTCACCTAAAATTCTTGGCTTATCCAAAAATATATATGGTATTCTAGAGATCAGAAGATGCACACTGATATTAGATATCAAGTATTTTTGTACAGCAGAACAAATCTAAGATCTGCTTTCTCAATTCTCAGAGTATTACCTGTAACATTCTCCCATAGTGAGACATAAAGTCAATCAATCAATCGTGGTCACAGGCCAGCATTGTGACCTATAGCAATAGCACTTAGATTTATATACCACTTCACAGTGCTTTATAGCCCTCTCTAAGCAGTTTACAGATTCAGCATATTGCCCCCAACAGTCTGGGTCCTTATTTTACTCACCTCGGAAGAATAGAAGGCTGTGTCAACCTTGAGCCGATGAGAATTGAACTGCCAAACTGCTCACAGACTGCAGTCAACAGACGTAGCTGCAGTACTGCATTCTAACCACTGCACCACCACGGCTCTTGGTATCTATAGTATCTATAACAAGTGTACCTATGATGTCCACCACATCAGGCCGGATAAGAGGCTCTCCTCCGGTCAAACGGATCTTGTCCACACCTTCCTTTACAAAGAGCCCAGCAAGAGTGATGATTTCCTGGGTGCTCAGCAATTCGGATTTGGGAGTTAGCTGAACCCCTTCCTCTGGCATACAATACTGACCTGAAACATGCAGTCAAGAGTTTTAAGACATGCCTGTTTTCAAATTACTTAATAAGAAACAAACTATTTCCAAAGAAGGTTACAATATTTTCATTTCTCATTCCTTTTAATGTACTTTTTTCTCCCAAGATCTGTGAAAAAAAATCCACAGAGACTGAATGAATGAAAAAATACCTACATATCACAATATCCTATAGGCGGGCACCTTATATGCTACAGTCCCAGGAAGAAACTAGTTCCTGGGGGGGTCTTGAGATGTGAAGACTTCAACTCTACAAGAATTCTACAGAAAGCATGGCCTTGCTGAGAATTCTGGCACCTTAAATTTAGCACTTTTGTAGGGCTCCCAGGTAGGAAACACTGCAGTAACTTTTATGAATTAGCAATTCACTTCATTGCATACATCTGGTAAATTGGAGTGCAGTTCCAAGATATTTATATCATAAAAATTACTCTTTAAGGTCTTGTTCTTGTTATCCTATATATTTCTGTGTGTTACAGTAGTAGCCAAAATTGTGAAAACCTTTGGGAAAAGTATATTTTCTAAAACTAGTAATAAAACCACTTTTTTTTGGAGTAGTACCATAAAATTATATATCAATGGAAAGATAATTTAATCAAGAATGTAGTGCAATAACTTTTGTGAAGGATTTGCTATTAGAATAGCAGTTACAGTATAAAGAAGAAAAGTGAAATACATAGAAAAAACAAGATATACAAAAATTATCATCATAGAAAACACGAGATATACAAAAATTATCACGTCAGTTAATACTTAGTTGGGTAACCTTTAGCATAAATTAAGGCCTTACAACGTCTTCCCGTGGAGTGAACCAAGTTTTTTAGTTCTGCAACTGTTATAATATGAAACCAAGATTGAATAATTGCTTCTATTAACTGGGTTTTATTGCTGGGTCGCTTTCTTTAGTCGGCTCCATAGATTTTCAATTGGGTTAAGGTCTGGGCTATTCCCAGGCCATTCTAGCAGGGGAATATGATTATCTTGAAACTCCAAAAAAAGTGGTGCTATTAGCCATCAAACCTCAAAAATACACTTTTCCCAAAAAGTTTCCACAATTTTGGCCATTACTGTACATAACCAAAACACATTTATTTCTATTTATTTATTTTATTAATTAAATTTGTATGCCGCCCCTCTCCGAAGACTCAGGGCGGCTCACAATGCATTTAAAATCATTATAAAAAACATTTAAGAATTAAAAACATTAAAAATATTAAAACTCATTCACACCATTCATGGCCGGATCTCGCCGGATCGCAAGAGCGAGATCAATGGCCCCAGGCCTGCCGGAAAAGCCAGGTCTTCATCGCTTTTCGGAAGGCCAATAGGGTGGGGATGGTCCGGACCTCAGGAGGTAACTGGTTCCAGAGAGCTGGGGCAGCCACAGAGAAGGCCCTCCAACGCGGGCCCGCCAGCCGGCATTGTTTAGCTGACGGGACCTGGAGGAGACCAACTCTGTGGGATCTTACCGGTTGTTGGAGACAATTTACAGGAGACAACTCCAAAAAGTGCCAACAGTTATTCAAATCCAACTTGTTCTATTTTGCTTTTAGTAACGAAAGGGTTATGAAAGGGTTCACTGTTTCAGGTTCCCAGCTGCTCCAGGGGAAAGAAGATATGTTATCCAAACAAGTTGGACTAGAATATGTTTTAACACATCTGCTCTTTTGTTTCCTCCAACAATCTTGTTTCTAATTTCACAATCTAATTATATCTGCAGGAAAAGAATGTTCTATAAGATATTGGCCCGAACAGCTTCCATTAACATGAGAAACAGCAGCAATGAAACAAATTGAGTTTTGGGATTTGCAGTGTGTGGCATTCTGCAAATAAGTCATGACTCTTGTTAAACATAGGTCCACAAATAAGATGTTATGAAAAGAAAACCTTGCATTTTATAATTAAACTTATATTCAGAGTAGACAGACTTACATCTGAGGTTGCATTTCTCAGTTACCGAGATTCTCAAGTAGTTATGCTGGCGTCCAAAGCTATCAGTCAGGAAATCAGAAAAAGGGGCAGCATCTGATAAGAACCGTGTTCTTCTTGGGACTGCAATTGCCTGTGTTATAAATAAATAATTTTTTCACTTTTGAGATTTTATGACAAATGTGTTGATTCTGTCAAATATAGGAATGGGAGGGAGGAAGGAATATAATTAAGTGAAGGCAAGGAACTTGGCTTGGAGTACCCAATATTTGCGTGCTTCTTTACATTTTAAAAGCATGGCAATCTTACATGATAATACAGATCGTCAGTACCAAGGTAAGAATTGATAGGGTGAAGGTGGTCATGAATATATTCAATATAACTTTATTATCTGGGTTTTAAAATCTTTAGGAAATAAATCTAGTAAAAATGGAGGACAGGATCTTGTTGCTGGTTGTTCCAATTCTTTGGAATGCCTTATCGGGGTAATCAGAGTAGATCACTCTCTGTTCTCAGGCATTTTCTTTTTCAGGAAGAACTTTGTCTGCTGGAGTTATGGGATATTTCATATCTTTATTATATTTAGGAATAAAGTTAATGGATAACACAATAATGGATTTTGTTCTCTTATTTATTATCAAGATTATTATCAAGACCATGTGAACTATTAATACTTTATAATGCCTTGGTAAAACCACACTTGGAACATTACATCCAATTGTGGTCCCCAAGATATAAAAAAGATGTTGAGACACTAGAAAGAGTGGAAAGAAAAGCAACAAAGATGATTAGGGGCCTGAAGGTTAAAATATACGAAGAATGATTGCATACATTGGATATGTCTAGATACATGAAAAGAAGGACTAGGGGTGACATGATAGCAATGTTCCAATATCTAAGGGGCTACTGCAAAGAAGAGGGGATCAACCTATTCTCCCAAGCACCTGAAGGCAGGACAAGAGGCAATGGATGGAAACTAATCAAGGAGAGAAGCAATCTAGAACTAAGGGAAATTTTCCTGACAATTAATCAGTAGAATGACTTGCTTTCAAAAGTTGTGGATGCTTCAACACTGGAGCTTTTTAAGAAAAGATTGGACAACCATTTGTCTGAAATGGTGTAGGGTTTCCTGCTTGAGCCAGGGTGGGTGGGTGTTGGACTAGAAAACATCCAAGGTCCCTTCCAACTCTGCTATTCTGTTATTTGACAAATCAGTCTGGACAATTTTTGCTACTTCTCTACACAATGGATGTTCATTGTTATCCTTAAAGTAGAGTTTTCTCCTGTGCAAATTAAGCTTTTGGATTAAAAAAAAATCCCATTTGCAATTTAACAGATATTCTGTTTCAATAGGTAGCCTTTTCCATTTACTATACATAAAAATATTTTTTGCTTACTGGGAAGCTTCTTGGGTTTTAGTTAATTAGGTTTTCTTAAAGCTCCATTTCACTGTCCTGCCAAGTTATATCATCTCAACTGACTATGTGCAACAAATAAAGATCACTATTATGATGTTATACAAACATGCAAAAATTGTTGAGAAAGCAATTCTAACATTATTTCCAAAAGAAAGTTGCTTACCATGTATTGAGGATCAAAACAAAATACATCAGAAATAGAAGACACAGAAGAGAAATGCTAATATTAAAATGTTCATACTGAAATGCTCATGTCAAAAGCAAATTGTTCTTACCCCACTAAAACAGTACGTTTCAAAACACAGACGAGAAAGTCAAATATTTGGTCTGTTGGCAGCTATTACTTCAGCATTTTTCAAAAACAAATGTAAAAAGCCCGAGATAACCTTTATGTAATCTACTGGACTATTGTCAGTTCTACACCACTGAGTAACTTCATCTTCTCACCAGCACTAAATGCATATGTGTGTGGGGGGCGGGGGGAGCAATTGGCTGTCTCAGGAATTTTTATTTATTTATTTATTTATATGCCGCCCTTCTCCGGAGACTCAGGGCGGCTTACAATGCGTTAAGCAATAGCCTTCATACTTTCTGGGATTGAAGTCCACAGGTTGTAAAATGGCCACATTTGCCCACCCCTGCTCTAAGGCAGTGTTTCTCAACCTTGATAGCTTGAAGATGGGTGGGCTTCAACTCCCAGAATCCCCCAGCCAGTAGCGGTTGAAGTCCACCCATCTTCAAGCTTCCAAGGTTGAGAAACACTGCTCTAAGGCAAGAGAATTAAATATATCTACAATATACAACTATTTGCTAATCCCAAACTCTCTTAAATTCATGATGGAGTCTAACAAGTGATATGAACAGGAATATATGTGTATTTATTTATTTCTATCTTGCCTTTATTAGTTTTATAAACAATTCAAGGTGGTGAACATATCCAACACATCTTCCTTCTATTTTCCAAACAACAACCCTATGTAAATTGGGTTGAGAGTGTGTGATTTGCCCAAGATCACCCAGCTGGCTTTCATGGCTAAAGAGAGATTAGAATTTACAATCTCCCAGATTTAAGCCTGATGCCTTGAAATACTAGTTCAAACTGGCTCGTGTAGGGGGGGAGAGAGTAGGTTAAACTATCTAACTATATCAAACAGAATCAGCCACCACTGGAATTCTTTGTTCAGGAGAAGCTGGGATCTTTAGAATAATGTTCTACCCTGATACGGTCCACGCCAATCAATATGAGATTTCATACGGGAATCACTCCTCTGCCCTCCCCTTCCCCCACTCCAACCCCATACCTTAGGAAGAATTTCCATCAAGATTTAAGTGCAGTATTCCTCACAAATACAATTTTAAAGTTAATTCACTTGAGTTTATAATTCAGGAAGATTTACAACAACGTCATTACTATGTAGATGAGTTTTACAATTATCTACCTCCTGAAGTTCTTCTAGTCTCAGAAATCAATGTCAGGCAAGTAGCCCAGTGGTGAAATCCAATTTTTTTTAATACCAGTTCTGTGGGTGTGGCTTGGTGGGCGTGGCAGGGAAAGGATACTGCAAAATCTCCATTCCCACCCCACTCCAGGGGAAGGATATTGCAAAATCTCCATTCACACCCCACTCTGGGGCCAGCCAGAGGTGGTATTAGCCAGTTCTCCAAACTACTCAAAATTTCCACTACCGGTTCTCCAGAATAGGAAAACTACATTATAGTAGTATTGGGTGGAACTGAAGCCAAAAATTAAATAGTCCACATGTGGGACTAAGATTACAATTTCTACTGTCCTAGGCTTGAATGTAACAATTACCGGTATAATAATAATAATAATAAAAAATCAGCAAGAAGGCCTCACATATTGAAATATGTAGCTAAAGAATTTAAAACTATTTTGTCTTTATTTTACCTTACAAAGTTGGTTTTATTTGGACATGGGAGCCGAAATCCAAACTTCCAATTTTTTGAAAGGAAATGTATACACAGATCCACCCTGAATGATTCAGTGAAAGATTTTGGGAGGATTGGAATTATGCAACAGCATCCTTGTAAAATTACTTCAGAGAGATATCATCTTACCTTCAGACCAAAATATGAGAAGTTGATAATACATCAACTGAATGCCAACTTCAAAACACTAATAGTCCCGTTCATTCTAGCATATTAATCACATCAATCCAAAACCTTATCTGCAATTACTATCAAAGAAGATCAAGAAAAAAAAAAAAGAATCAAGTTACTAAACCTGAAAAATGATTTTTAACATAATTTCAAATAGTGAAATATGCTATTCCTAGTAGCCTTTTTCAACTTGAAAAGTGTTTGGTTTCAATTCTAATCTAACTTCAACTGGTTGACAATTATGAGAATTGCAAAGGGATGAAATTAGTTTTAAGCCAAAGAATGATATAAACTGTATTGGCAAAGGGTAACTTTTTGTTTCAGATGTTTTCTAAATTTTAATTTATACAGAGTGGCAGCCCTAGCCTCAAGAAATGTTCCATACAGAACTTTTGGATTAAGGGTTGAGTAAGGATATCGTGTAAGCACTTGCTTTTGATAATTTTCAAATTCTTCCATTATCTGCAGTGCTACCTGCAGTGTTAATTCACAGGGATTTTAATTCCGAATTCATTCCAAGTGCCAACACCTTGTCTTGTATAGACTAAGAAGAAAACACTCCTAGGCATGTGAAGTAGTTTTTTCCCCATCAGAAAGTACTCTAACCCATCCCCCAACCCCCACCCCATTACAGTAATGTTTCTTAGGTAAAAGGCATGATATATTCTGGGAGACTTGGTATAGGATCTAGTGCAGAGGTGTCAAACTCGTGCAGTCAGGGCGGTGTCATGTGACATATGAGGACTTTTTTCCCCCTTCGCTAAACTGGGCGGCGACGGAGCCAGCACATGATGCATTTGGCCCGTGGGCCGCAAGTTTGATATCCCTGGTCTAGTGCCTTGAGGGTCCACCTGTCTCCCATAACATCAGGTGATTCAATTGTGAAGAGTTGGTGTACTCCAGGGGTGTCAAACTTGCATTATCACCCCAAGTTTGACACCCCTGGTGTACTCAGAGTTCCTTTGATTAAATACTGTCAACTTTCAGGACCCCACAAGGACGCCTTCTCTATAAGTAAGATTCCCCTCAAGAGTCAGATGACTCTTACTGGATAGCTCTTTCTTTTGCCCTGTTTAGAAGAGCAGTCAAAACCTGGCTCTTCACATAGGCCTTCAGCAAGGGGGAATGAGATTTCTTACTTCATCAAGCTTGCCATTGGTTTATTTACTGCATTTTATTGATATTGTAATGTGCTCGAGAGTCAGCCCGCCTGCAAGTTTTATTAAATAAAATTTAATAAATAATAAATTTATTAAATTAAAAATTAAATTATTTAATAAACACTGTTTATTAAGCAAACAGTGGCATAATGTTGTATGAATGTGTTACATTATTATGTAACACATTCATACAACATTATGCCACTGTTTGCTTAACTTCCCTTTCTTGAAAGTTATGTAATATGAAGTAATGACAGTTACCCTGGTTTACTGGTTCACCCTATGCCTGGGCTGTAAGGAGCCTTGGTGGAGAAGCGGACTAAAGTGCTGTCAAGTAGCACTTAGCTGCCAGCTGCCTGCAATTACTGCAAGTTCAAATCTCACCAGGCTCAAGGTTGAGTCAGCCTTCCATCCTTCCGAGGTAGGTAAAATGAGGACCCGGATTGTGGGGGCAATAAACTGACTTTGCATAAAAAAAAGAACACCGCTGGGGGTGGGGGGAAACAAAAGCCCTACTAAGCAGGTATATACAAAAAAAGTATGAAGGCTATTGTTTAACGCATTGTAAACCTCCCTGAGTCTCCGGAGAAGGGCGGCATATAAATCGAACCAATAAATAAATAAAGAGTTTACAGCTTCTCTTATCTCTCTGCTGCTAATTGTTCAGGACTCATGTTCGGAACACAGACACAGCCCTGGTTCATATAACCTGGGGAGCAACAAACCCACTTTGCGGCCAGGTACGTTGCGGGAATCCGATCGCACTCCCCCTCACTTGATGCACTTTCGGAATATGCCACTGTTGCAAAGGACGCTGTCCCAGGTTTAGGTGATTTGCCCTCTTTAGGGCCCAAGGTATTTCTAAGAGGCGCGATCAGCGACTCACTTAGACTTTCATCGTCCGATGAAAAGGGTGTAAGGAGGGCAGCGCTGGCCGCTCATCCAGACTAGGTGCAAGGCGAAGTCCCTCCTCTTCTCTGCTCGCCCGCCTCACCTGTTCAGAGGGCAATTCCAGCGCGTGTTGCTGCTGCTGCTGCTGCTGCTGCTGCTGTCTCACCGGTGTCCCGGACCGGCAGCTCCTGTTCAGGTGAACACGGAAGGCCCCTCGCAGGAACAAGCCCCGGCGCCCGCGCTGAGATACCCTGAGAGCCGACAAGGATGCCATTCCTCTTGCCTAAGCTAAGTCGCCTTCCCCACAACCTCTCCGACACGGGCCAGAGGAGAAGTAGCCGGCTGGGGTCATGGGTGCCGAGAGGGAGGGATACCGCCGACCAATAGGGGTCGAGGAATCCGCTCGGCATGCCGGGATTTGTATTCCGCTCAGGCCTTCTCAGGAGTCGTTGCGTAATTTTCGAGTCGGGTTAGCGGTTTCTCAACTGGTATGAATTTGCGAAATCCTCCCGAGTTTTATCTTTCAGGAACTCCAAGATAAGAGCGAAGAGCTGCAGGCTACCCTGGCTCTCGGACAACTTTTTCTAGCAGCAAGCCGAAGAAGAAGAAAAAGGAAAGAAAAAAAAAAGTGGGGGGGGGGGGGGGAGATGGGCGAGGGCGTTGTTCTTAGTTTTGGCAGAGCATGTTTTGTCAGCCCCCCTCCCCCCTTTCATGGAAATACCCCATTTATATATGGGGACCGATAACCGGGATTAAGTTTGTGAAGGTTCTTAATCCCCGAATGTCTCTTCTTCGGAAAGGCGAGGGAAGGTAGCGTTAGCCAAGCAATCTTGCCACCGCCAGTAATTAAACACCAGTCTTTCTGTGGCACTGTCCCGTTTGGATCCAAGATTCCTGCGAGCTGGTGGTGGTAGCGTGAGGTCAGACTTCTTCGGAACACAGCCAACAGCGTGTATTAGTCTCGCTTCTGGGCCGCTTGCGGGTGAGACTGGTAGGTTGGGAATAAAGGAGCGAGAGAGCCCGGAGAACGGAGGAGAGGCAGTTAATTCTTGACTTTGGGCCAGTCCCTTTCAGCCCAATTCACCTCACAAGGTTGTGGTCGTGGGGAAAAGAGGAGGAAGGAGAATGGAATGGAATGGAATGAAGAGAAAAAAGGAGAGGAGAAGAGAAAATAGAATAGAACAACTTCATTGAATGTACTTTGAATGTACACTAATAGGCATACATTAAAAATGAAATTGAAATTTCCTTGCATACAGCTCTCAAAGGTCACCAACTCCAATATAACTACATAACCATGACAGAATAAATATGAAAGTATGCATATACCCCCATATATGACACAGAGTGTTAGATATATTCATCGCTTTGAATTGTTTATTCAAATAATAAAGGGAGGATATAAAATCTAATAAAGGAGAATATTTGTAGCTCAGGATTGAAATGAGAGCTCCTTGGTGCTCTCTGAGCTTGGTTGTTTCATTACCCTAACTAGGTAACAACATCAGTGCTTGTAAGAGTGGGGCTTGCTCTCAGTTTATATTCTAGGATATAAAACACATACATAAATACGTATTCTTTCCCCCTCTCTTCCACTACTATCACCAGAGAGGGTTCTGCAGTACTGCAGGGCAAATCCAAAGAAATCATTCTTATTCTGCGATAATAAGAATTCTGTCGGACAAGTGACAAGTCTCCCCAGCTTGTTGTACCTCCAGTCTCCTGATGGCTGAGAATGGGGAGAGCTTGTACTTCCACAGATTTGGATAAAATGAGAGCATTGGCTTTTTTAGTGACTAATTGCCACTAATTGCTTACACTTGTAATTCCTTAACGAAAAGGGATGTGTGTGTGTGGTGGGGGGGTTAATAAAAAACAAACAGGAGTTTGGGGAGGTGTTTGTATTGTTCAATTGTATTGAACAATTGAAAATAATTGAAAATTATTGGTGTCGGTAAAGAAGAGATGGAAGTAGGATCAACTTTGGCTGAAGCGAATGTTTAACCGTTTCTGCAGAGGAAAGGACAGTGATGGGAATTAAGTAAAAATAATGTTTATACATCAGCTTATTTTTTCCTAAACTTAAGAGATTTGCTCTCTTAAATTGAGCACTAAAGCAGCATTTTTCTTAAGTTCTTATTTAGAATCAATCTCTCTGGAAGCACTGGTAGTGTTTGCTATCCATTGCCTGGCCCTTCTGGATTTACTATCATATTATCAAACCAGAAAAGGAAAACATAAAGGAATTTCCTCTCCTTGAGAGGAAAGAAACACATACATACACCTCTCACTAAAATCATGATGCTCTTGTTCTAGAAAGGCTCACCTATATTCTTGGTGTCTTTCTGCACAATAAATATGATGTGATTCATTGACTTTTATCCATGCAATTTGTTTTCTCCACCATATTTTGAGAGTAATTTCCAAATGGTGTTGCAGTTTCCTGTGCACACAACTGTGTGCTGATAATAAACAATTGGTATTCTGCAGTGTAATTCTGTTGACTATTTATTCTTTTACACTTGATTAGATGTAAAAAAAGGCTGCAACCTAAGGAAGATTTCTTTCTTTTCCAGGTGTTGATGCTCAAAGATATTTGTTGAGCAGATGTAAAAGGGATTTAAAATACATGCTTTATGAAGTAAGAAGTAAAAAGATTCAGGTTTCAGCAGAACAGGTTTACCCTGAGTATCACAAAAAGCATGGCAAAACCAGTTAGTCAAGGACATAAAACTGGAAATAGTGCAAAGAAATTGATATAGAGGTAGTCCTCAACATACAACAGTTCATTTAGTGACTGTTCAAAGTTACAACAGCACTGAAAAAAGTGACTGATGACCATTTTTCACACTTATGACCTTTGTAGAAGCCCCACAATCATGTGATCAAAATTCAGATGCTTGACAATTGCTTCATACTTTCGTATCCCAAGGCCATTTGATTACCTTTTGCAACTTTTTGACAAGTAAAATCAATGGGGAAACTAGATTCACTTAACAACCAGGTAACTAATTTATCAACTCCAATGATTCACTTAACTGTGGCAAGAAAAGTCGTAAAATGGGGCAAAACTCACTTAACAAATGTCTCGCTTAGCAACAGAAATTTTGAGCTCAATTGTGGTCGCAAGTCGAGGACTACCTGTAATTTGATATAATGTAAGACCCAATCTGGTTATTCATTGCTTACTATTCAGATAGCATTGGATTCAATTTGTAAACTCTAATTTTGGATAGTATTGTGTTTTAATGGTCTGATGGACTATTGTGGACTATTATGAGAGGTTTGTACAAATGTCAATTAAATATTCAGGCACACTGGGACCATAGCAAGTAATGCTGCTATAATTGCTAACATACTTTTTAATAAAATGTTACTTAATGTTAGCAAGCAGTTGAAACTGTCCCCGGTAGGAAGGTTACAAAACCAACAGCAGAGCTGTTGGCAGCCATTCACCACTTTTTACAGCAATCGCAGAATGCCTTTTTTTAATTTTGCAACCATGCATGAAAGTAGAATTATGGTGGCACACCATGTTGCTCAAAGTGATATCCAGTGGCAGGAGCAACATGAGTCAGGTTGGAAAAATAGCAACAAGCAACAATGGCCATGGTATAAATTTGCATCACTCGTCTACAAATGTGGGAAATATGATCCGTGGAAAAGCCAGTATCCTAAATTAGACCAAGTGTCAAGTGGCTCTGCTATATAATAAAGTCAACAGATTCAGTGCTAATATATGAAGCTGCCATTGGAATAGCATGCTCAGCTTCAGAATTAGCTTGTCTTTCCACTTTTACCTTCACATTAGTTGTGACTTGGGAATCCTTTCCCCTTCAGTCTTTAATTTCTTAAGATTCTAAATCTTATACTGCTTTAGAGGTTGCTATCACTTTGAATCCTTTCTGGATGATATTGCAGCTGATCTGACTTGGGTAAGCAGCAAAATGTTTCAAACCAAAATAGAAAAGAAGGCCAGTTGCCATTACTCAACTTCCAGACAATTTTATCTGGATATCTGAGGATCGTCATTGATAAACCTCCCAATTTTTCTTTGACCAATGCTCACTATATTGCAATGAGAATGTACGAACTCAGTTCTGGGAAACTCAGGAACTGCTTATTATCATAATTCATCTTATTCTTTTCTTGGGGAGACTAACTTACTTGTTAATCTTTTGGAAAGAGACCTATTTTGCAAGCTGAATTTCACTTGATTGTATACTTGAAGGGGTCTTTTTAAATGCTTACAATAATAATGAACACAATCTTGCCCTAGCCACATTGTAACTGGCTTCTGATCTATCCAACTGTCATTTCTTCATGAATGAAAGCAATGTCATTTCTTCATCTGCCTCTTATCCCCTTTTGCAGTGTGTGCTTGAAAAGCTATGGAGACCTCTATTTATAATTGTGAGACCACATTATCCACAGGACTGATAGACACATCCAAAGACCGGAGCCCTACTTAACTGGATTTTCACTGGATCCCTCAAATAAAACAGACAGAAGAAATTTGATCCATTATTCTGTTCCTCAATGAACAATGAATAAAGCATAGTGGTTCTTGCATCAAGTCTCTCCAATACGCCAGTTCTCAATTCTGTCAAGAATCCAGATTGTACACGTATACACACACACACACACACACACACACACACACACACACACACAGAGAGAGAGAGAGAGAGGGAGGGAGGGAGGGAGGGGGAGAGAGAGAGAGAGAGAGAGAGAGTCTCTGGTTGGTGGTCTGATGCAAGGTCTTGTTGCATTGTTGACCCAATTTTTCCTGTTCTTCCAAATCCAACCATTCTGCCTAGGTTTTTGGCAGAAGCTACTCTATTTACTGTAGTAGATTTGCATTTTTTTTCCTCTGCCCTAGTTCATGATGACTGTCAATGTTTGTTTCCTTTCAGTTGTAAAGGTACTCAGTATACTTTCACATGTCCTGTCAGGAATATTGCAAAACTTTGTGGGACATTGCTATTTTCCATTGCTTGTGCCTCTGTGTTGTTATAACATGTAGATGATTTTCAGTGACCTCTCTAGTTTTCACCTCCTGTCAAGAAAATGCAGTACCTCTTCTCTCTTTTCGGCTGCGATGGCCTCCTGCAAGCCTCTGCCAGCGAAAATGGAACTCAGGAGGGCCGTGTGCAGAGCTCTGTTTTCTCTGGCAGAGGCACCAAGGGCCAGTCCGCTGTTTCCAGGGTGTTCCCGTGGACAGATCCAAGCACGTGGTGGGCCGGATCTGGCCCCTGGGCCCTGAGTTTGACACCCCTGCACTAGCTTATAGTCCTGCGCTGAGTCTTTGTAATTACAAGTTTATGTTCACTTCTTTTTGCCGTGAACATAACAGAGTAGTGGCAGGTATGTTCACCCAGTCTAATGAGTTATTTTTCTTATAAATTCAGACTTGTTGCTCATATGTACAATTGAACAGTGCTGTTACTGCCCAATACTGATTTTGAATTATAAGTAAAACAGCTCTGTTTCGTGACTTCTGATGGCAAGAGTGTTGCAGATTATGTCCTTAGATCCCCTTTTATAGTTCTGGAAGCAGACCTGCTGTCTGGGACCTCAGCCCAGATTGCTAAGAACTATGTCCCTTTTTTTTATGCCTGCCAGAATGCTAATATTGGCCTTGACTTTAGATACACCTTTGGTGCCATCCAACATTACACTTTCATTTGAAAATAAAGAAAGTATTTGACTTCTTCTAGTTCCCTAACGATTCCCCTTGGTTTTTGATTTTATTTATTATTAATTTATTTATTTATAACATGTATTGGCTGTCCATCTTACTACAGGGTGCCTTATGGTCAAATTTAATTGATTCTCTTTTACTTTGGAAAGTAGTAGTTTTTATTAAAGCATTCTTTCCTCTCAAGAAATGATTTAGCAGACTCTTCTACATGATCTACTAATCTCAGTGCTCCCAAAATTTCTTTACAGGCCTTTTTGCTGGCTCCTTTGTCTTTTCAGGATTTTATTTTAATGCACTCAGAAGTCCTTCCAGAAGAGCAGAAGCTTTGGTCTTCTTAAGGATGCATCACTGATAATGATAGATTGTGGAAAGTTCTGGATAGCCAATCAGCAACTTCAAAGTTCATTGCCTGTTCTTGCTAGTCTCACACCTTGAACAGGCCTAGAAAAGTCCTGTTCTGACCCAGCTCCCCAAACATGACAAACCTTCTATAGTTGAAGCAATTATTCCTTTATTAGGAGCACCAGGAGCCCCGGCAAAAAGTTTCTCTTTCACCGCAGGCTACAAGTCTGTCCAACAGGGAGATGAATGTCTGCCACATCTATTAATCTCCGCCCCCTGCCTTTTATCCCCAGAGCCAGGGTGGGCCTTCGCTAGCAGTAGTGGCTCTTCCTTCCCAGGGATTGGCCCACAAATTTCCACTGCTCTCCCCTCCTCTGCTTTCTATGCATCCACGTGTCAGGCACCGGACCCAGCTGTTCCCCCCCCTCTCTCCCCCCCCCTCCCTCCCTCCCTCCCTCCCTGCTGGAAGGGACAGTGGCTGATAAGCCACAACAGCTCAAAGAACAGATGGCAGTTGTGGCTAGGAGAGCCTTTGCATATCTTCATGTGGTGCACAATTGCACCCATTCCTGGACTGAGAATCTCTGCTCATTGTTACTACCGTGTTTTCCCGAAAATAAGACCCTGTCTTATATTTTTTTGAACCCTGAAATAAGCTCTTGGCCTTATTGCCATGCGCTCCAAAGCCCGATTGGGTTTATTATCAGGGGATGTCTTATTTTGGGGAAAACAGAGTAATAGCCTAATCACTTCCAAACTGGGCTTCTGTAATTTACTCTACATAGTACTGCTCTTGAACAGTATCCAGAAGTTTCAACTGGTACAGAATGTGTGGGTGCAAGCAGTTATGCATGACCCTAGAATGGCATGCATAACTCTGCTTCATTAGCATCCAGTTTGCTTCTAGGTCCTATTTAAGGTACTGGTTTTGAACTTTGAAGTCCTTCATGGCATGGGAGCAAGTTATTTGAGGGACTGTCTCTTCTCTCTGAATATCTAGCACAAGAGGTATGTTGTTGCCTCTTGGTGGGACATAAAATTACATCTGGTGGGACTCAAAAGAGGGATCTTTTCTGTCGTGGCATCTAGCCTGTAGCACATCATCCCTCCCAAGGTGAGACCCGCCCCTTCTCGGCCATCCTTCTAGAAATCCCTCAAAACCTGATGGTGTCAACAGACTTGGAGGCCTCATGGGAGTGGTGATCTACTGAAATATCTCCACTGTTTGTAATATCCAATGCTTTCACCTAATTTTTTTAAATAATATAACTTTTTATTAATAATACCAGATTGTAACAGGCAACAATGAAATATTTTTTTTTAACTTTCAGTCAATTTCCTTCAAATGATTCATCCTATTACAGCACTTCTTATCCTTACTGAGATATTTATACCTCACCCCTTGATCTAGGAAGACCGTTAGGGTAATAAATGTTTTTTTTAAAGAAAAAAAGTACTAAATTCTAAAAACGATAGCAGAATTTTAAAATATTAAAAAAATGAGGGAAGCCTAAAAACAGCAGTATTTTTTCTGAGGTTCATTTGAAATATTTTTAGAATAAAACCAAATTATTTTGGTTGGATATTAACCATTATTCATGATGTGAGTATATTTATTTTATTTATTTATTTATTGTGATTTATATGCCGCCTTTCTCCCTAGGGACTCAAGGCGGCTTACAAAAAGACAACTTCAATACAAATCACAATACAATACCAAATTAAAATCAGTAACCCAATTAAAAACGATTTAAAATTATATCAGTGTACCCCCAAACGGATCAGTTTAATTGGCGGAAGAGCCACGTCTTCAGCTCGCGACGGAAGGAAAGAAGGTCGGGGGCTGTCCTGAGCTCAGTGGGCAATCCATTCCAGAGGGTCGGGGCTCCCACAGAGAACGCCCTCCCCCTGGGGGTCGTCAGCCGACATTGTTTGGCCGATGGCACCCTGAGGAGGCCGACTCTGTGAGAGCGCACAGGACGATGGGAGAACGGCTGGAGATGGTCCTGCAAGTACCCTGGGCCTAAGCCATGAAGGGCTTTATAGGTGAGCACCAGCACCTTGAAACGTATCCGGAGTGCCACCGGTAGCCAGTGCAGCTCACGCAGGAGAGGTGTTACACGGGAGTATCTAGACGCCCCCGTAACTACCCGCGCGGCTGCATTTTGGACTAACTGAAGCCTCCGGACACATCCCAAGGGCAGCCCCATGTAGAGGGTGTTACAGTAGTCCAACCTAGAGGTAACAAGGGCGTGAGTGACCGTGGCGAGGGCATCCCGGTCTAGGAACGGGCGCAACTGGCGCACAAGACGGACCTGTGCGAAGGCCCCCCTGGTTACGGCCGTCAGATGATCATCTAAAGACAGCCGAGAATCCAGGAGGACACCCAAGTTGCGGACCCTGTCAGAGGGAGCAAGGGTTTCACCTCCGATCATTAAGGATGGAACCTCCAGATCCCGGGATGCCGGCATCCACAGCCACTCAGTCTTGGAAGGGTTGAGTCTGAGCCTGTTTCTCCCCATCCAAACCCGCACCGCTTCCAGGCAGTGGGACATCACGGAAAGGGCATCCCTAGGGTGGTCAGGGGTGGAGATGTAAAGCTGGGTATCATCAGCATATTGATGATACCTCACCCCAAAACCACGGATGATCTCACCCAGCGGTATCATATAGATATTAAAGAGCAGAGGAGAGAGAACCGAGCCCTGAGGCACCCCACAAGTGAGAGGCCTCTGGGAGGATCCCTGACCCCCCGCCCAAACAGACTGCAGACGGCCCGAGAGATAGGAGGAGAACCACTGTAAAACAGTGCCTCCTAACCCTATCCCCCTGAGCCGCTGCAGCAGGATACCATGGTCGATGGTATCGAATGCCGCTGAGAGGTCAAGAAGGACCAGGATGGAAGAGCAACCCCCATCCCTGGCCCGCCAGAGATCATTTACTAGGGCGACCAATGCCGTTTCCGTGCTGTGGCCACGCCTGAAACCAGATTGGTAAGGATCCAGGTAGTCAGTTTCCTCCAGGAATTGAGGGAATTGCTGTGCCACCATGGACTCAACAACCTTCGCTAAAAAGCGAATATCACTTGCTACAAGAGGTTTTTAGCAATCTTTCATCTTTATTGTTATGGGGTGTCTTCTGCAAGAAACTAAATATGGCTAGTTCATTTTGTCTTAACTGAATGTCAAAGGCTCATAATACTGAAAGATTCTTTATTCTAGTCAAATAATTTATCAAAAATATGCCATTCCTCAGAAAATACTAATATGTGATACATGGAGAGGAGAGGAGAGGAAAGGAAAGGAAAGGAAAGGAAAGGAAAGGAAAGGAAAGGACAGGAAAGAAGGAAGTCTGATTTACTGTTTTTTAATTTTGTTTCTTCTCAACTTTTGGGATTGCTTGGACATTCAGAAAATCAGGCTCATTTTTCTTTTCAAGATTCCTTTGGAGATTTAATTCTTCAGTGCTAGGAAAAAAAAACCCTCTCTTGTCTCTTTTCTAGTTTAGTTGGATGATCAAATGTCTT